AGATATGTGACCAATTAGACACCTTGATTCAGGTTGAACTCGAAGACAAGGTGGGCGTTGCATTCCCTCTTTCCCAGTAAGCATCTCGCTTCGTCGTGGGAGTGGACTGGTACTATACATTAATCTAGGTTAAATTGAGCGTTTCTGTCGTGTATAATGGTCGTATTGGTAAGTATTTGATTAAAATTTACATGTTCCATACATAAATGAAGGTATTGACTTAAAATTTACCAGAATATGATAGTTTGTCTTGTCGTGGATTGCCAATATGCATTTCGTGCGAACCACCGATAGCGATGAACGACGGCCGGCGGGAGGATCCCGCAGTGTCCATTTCGATCTCTACATCATGAAGACCTTCTCCTTCAGTGTTGCCGCCCTTGTTGCGGTGGCGTCGGCTAGCTCGTTAGAAAAGTGTGGAGCTGCCGTCACGGGAGTACTCACAACGGCGGCCACGAACAGTGATTCTGTCGCGTGTCACAAGGAGACTGGCATTTCAACCTCCGCGACGACCGTGTCGGACGAAGATGTCAAGAAGGCGCTGGCGTCCAAGGCATGCAACACGTGGTGGAAAGGGATCGTCAAAGAAATCAACTCGATTGAACCTGCGTGCAAGTTCCCCCTGTTTGACGGAAGTGGCAAACATGTGAATACCGATAAATTCCACATGAAGTACACGGAGTTCTTGCACGTGACCCAGAAAGCGCTAAGAAAGGCAGGAAATGGTACCATCACAGCTGTCGCTTCCCCAGAGAGCTTGGAACAGTGTGGCACGACTGTGAGCACGATCCTGACCGAATCCGCGACGAACCACGGCGCCAAGGCGTGCTCGACCGAAACAGGCATACCCCTGACGGCGACGAGTATTTCCGGCGAAGACTTGGCAAAAGTGTTGAAGGCCAAGACTTGCCGAGAGTGGTGGGCGAAGATTGTGACTGACATCAAGGCTGTCAAGCCCGCGTGCGACTTTCACAGCTTGGACGGCAGCGGGAAGGCTCTCGACACAGGCAGCTTCAGCCTCAAGTTCGAAGAGTTCTTGGAACTCGGCAAGAAGCTGGCAGGAGACAGGCCTACATCCAAGGGTGCTCCCAAGAAGGGAACGGAAGCGACCTCGACGGCCACCCCTGCCACGACAGCCACGACTGACGCACCGAAAACTACGACTAAGTCCAACGCGATCGTGGCGTCGTTGAGTGTCACTGCCATAGTTGTCGTTGCTGCGTTTGCATAAACGTCTCGTCCAGTGTGCTCCAATCGAGTGGCTCTGCATCGCTCGTAACTCAACTCTTTACTGATCTTCTTTAACATGGATTCGATCCGCTTTCCTTGCACCCCTTCCAACTCTCGTGCTTGGTGCGCCCGTTGAATGTATTCTATCGTCATCAGCCTCGCAATGTGGTATTGCCACTCCCAAGCAGTAGTCTTAGGTGGGAACACCAAGTCGAGAGGAATTCTCTTTTCCGTGTGACTGTTCGTTTATGCCGCTTTTCAAACGCCAACTTGCGATTTGGAAGCAGCTACTCAAATCCGCATTAGTGTTAGCTACGTATTGCTCACTGGTCGTCGTCCAGGGCAGCTTGAACATCTTTCGAATACTAGGGTGCACAGCCCACATTGTGATGTGTGGATCCACTTCAGTCACTTGAACCCGCGTGGCCTACAAACAAGCTTGATCACGATGGTGTCCTTAACGACTAGATGCATTGGCCTCGCACGTGGCTTCTTGTATCGTAAGTCCCAACCGCGAGAAACGTGGAGTAACGTGGAATGAACAGGCCGGGACTTTGGATGAAGTGATGTTCGTCGATCAATTTCACCCCAGCCGTCCATCTATCCGACTTAATGCCGAGCTGCGCAACGAACCCTCGCACAAACACATTCCACTCCATGCGGATGCATGGCCAGACCATCTCTCAACCTGACATCGAGCACTATGTCTGTGTTAGGAATATGTTCCATAAGTCGCAATGATAATCCAAACTTCACAATTCATGATATGTCATCATTTCAACCAATCATGGCGCGATGGGTGGTCGACCACGTGGCATCGCCATCAAATTTGGCCAATTCGATTGAATTTTGCCAATTTTATGCAAAATTCGCTAAAGTTTATCGAAAATTGATACCCTTGTCAAGGGACAGTTTTCAACATGACGGCTTCAAAGCAACCTGTGCCTGCGGCGGCGGCCGGTGTTCTGGACCTACTTGTGTGCATTGGTGGTATCTACACGTGCTACCTCTCGTACGGCATCTTCCAAGAGAAAATGTACGCACTCCTTAATGTGTATACGTAAGTGTGGGCACTGCGTGTTGACGATCGCTGTGTAGCTTCAAGTACCGCGACGCCGAGGGCAACAAGTTCACGGCGACGTTGTTTTTGCTGTTGATCCAATGCATCTTCAACTCCCTAGTTGCGTTCATTGGTACCCACTTCACGAAACGCATCACTCGTTGCTCATGACAGTACCTTGACGCTAGCAACATGCATTTGGGTCCCCAAGAACAAAAGCGTTCCGCTGAGCCCGTTTGCATTCTCAGCGTTCTCGTACTTGGGTGCAATGTTGTGCAGTAACGAAGCGCTCAAATACGTCAACTACCCCACCCAAGCCTTGGGCAAGTCGTGCAAGATGATTCCTGTCATGTTGACGGGTGTCCTCCTCGGGCGTAAAAAGTACTCGTGGAAGGAATACGTGTCCGTGATCTTGATCACTGCTGGTATTGTGATCTTTCAACTCGGCAAGGACTCGTCCAAGGGAGGCAAGCAGCAGACGGAGAACAGCGTATATGGACTTGGACTGCTGTTCACAAGCCTCTTCTTGGACGGCCTTACGGGATCTGGTCAAGAGCAAATGGTCGAATTGCACAAGCCGTCGGTGCACCAACAAATGCTCAACACGAACATCTGGGCTGTCATTTACACTGGCATTGGGTATGTTGGAAGTCTCCTAATCTCGTTAAGTGCCTTACCTTTGTTGATGGCCCAGGTGCTTGGTCACGGGTCATGGCTTGACCGGATTCAACTTTTGCTTGAACAACCCAGAGGTATCGTCGCCCACTTTGTTGTGTATGACGTGGAGGTGACATCCTTCTTTGCGCCAGATTTATCAATCGCTGCTGTTCTTCTCCATGTGCAGTGCGCTTGGCCAAAACTTCATCTACTTCACCCTGCAACGGTTCTCGGCCCTGACATGCACGACAATCACGACTACGCGCAAATTCTTCACCATCCTCGCGTCCGTCCTGTATTTTGGCAACAAGCTCGCAGACCAGCAATGGGTCGGTGTCGGCGTCGTCTTCACCGGCATTGGGATTGAGCTCACCACCAAGTATTCCAAGTACGGCGCGAAAAAGGCCGACGTGAAGAAGACGGCATAGCTAGAAGAATCTGGTGAATTTGTAAAATGTATAAAGAGTATCACGAAAGGTGATTGGGCGATTATTGGATTTTATCCAATCGTTGTGAGATATTAATCTATATTCACCCAATCAGGTCGTGCAAAGGTCGCACCTACGGACAACATTGGCAATTACTCCGACAGAGGAAATGCGACGGAAGGCTCTATAGTACGGGACTCTCATGATGCTTCTCCACCCGATGAGCAACCGAATCGGGATTGGAGTGGGGATAATAGACGTCAATGTGTGAGTTTCACCCAAGCGCATGCGGTCCCAAGTCACTGCCATAATGAGGGAGATGACGTCGTCAGCGCCTAATTCCAGTTATTCCAGTTGGTGAGAGCAGAAGCAGAAGAGGCAGTATTTTGTGAGCAAGCTCCATCGAGACGGCTATGAATACGTTTGGAAATGGGGCGATCGAATCCGCATATGCATTATTGTCGCCAACGGGCTTATGCCTGTTTCGTTTCGTCGTTGTTGGGGTGGTCTTCGTCCTTGACTTTGTTGTCGGCCAAGTGGCGGAAGAGGGCAATCGTGTCGGCCACCGACTTGGTCCCGTGGACCTTGTTGTCGCGCGTGCGGATGTTGACCGCGTGCTTTTCTTGTTCTTCAGCACCGACGACGCAGATAAAGTTGAAGTGCGACATTTGGCCTTCCCGGATCTTCTTGTTGAGCGTCTTGTTCGAGTCGTCCACTTCGACTTCAAAACCATGGGCGAAGATTTCTTCGCGTACTTGATGGGCGTAGTCGTTGAAGGCAGCGCCGACGCTTACAATCAGGACTTGGCGCGGGCTCAACCAGAACGGGAATTTGGCGGCAAAGTGTTCCTACACCATGCACCTGGTAAGCCACGTCATCACCACACTCTATAAGTACCGTGATCATTGCAATGAAGCGCTCCAACGACCCGTAGATGGCGCGATGGATCATAACGGGTCGCGCAAAGTTTTCTTCGCCAGCTTGGCTCCCGTCGCTGCGGTATTTCAAATCGAAACGAATCGGCAATTGAAAATCCAATTGACACGTCGCGCATTGATGTTGACGGTTCAACGCGTCCGTGACGGTGAAATCGATCTTAGGGCCGTAGAACGCGCCATCACCAGGATCGACGGTCCAGTTGCCTTTTCCGGCAAACGTGTCCATGGCACTGGCCAATTGCTACGACACACATACCAATTCACTTGCGTTCGACAACGCATTCATCGAGCAAGCCTACCGCTTCGGCCTTCTCCCACAATTCCGCCGACCCGAGCGCCTTCTCCGGCTTGGTCGAGAGCTTCAGTTTGTACTTGAGCCCGAACACGTCGTACACGTACTTCATGAATTGCAAAAAGTTGAGCACTTCTTGCGTGATCTACTCGCATTGTCAGAGCCACACAAGAAACTGCTTGGTGTACCTGGTCTTCACGGCAGAAGATGTGCGCATCATCTTGCTGGAAGCGACGCACACGGGTGAGCCCGGTCAACGCACCGCTCAGTTCGTTACGATGCAACACACCACAATCGGCCACGCGCCACGGCAACTCGCGGTACGAGCGCATGCGGTGGTCGAACATGAGGCAGTGGGACGGGCAGTTCATCGGCTTCATCGCAAACTCTTGGCCCTCCACATCAAATACGAACATGCAGTCCTTGTAGAGCGCGGCATGGCCAGACGTTTTCCACAGATCCATGTTGAACACGTTGGGCGTGATGACTTCGTTGTACCCTCGCTTGCGGTACTCGGCGCGGATAAACTCGAGGAGCTTGAAGTAGACGCGGGCGCCGTGGGGCAAAAAGAAACAACACCCGGGACTGAGTTGGTGGAAGAAGAAGAGCTCTTCTTGGATACCAAGGCGGCGATGGTCACGCTTGGCGGCTTCTTCTTGGAAATGCTTCCACTCCTTCAGCTGCTTGGCGTCAGGGAAACTGATGCCGTACACGCGCTGGAGGGAATCGTTGGTGGTCTTGCCCAACCAGTAGGTACCTGTAAAGTTCGTCAGAAGAGAATGCAAACTAGATCGACGCGTACTGGAGGTGCGAGTGACAGCGAGGGCCTTGATCTTGCCCGTGTGGGGCACATGCGGCCCACGGCACAAATCAATCAACGGCCCGCAGCGGTACGCTGTAGTTTTTCCGCCGTCAGGAATCTTGGTGCTGATAATTTGGGTCTTGAACACATTGTCCGCGAACAGTTCGAGCGCTTCTTCCTTGGTCAACACAATACGTTCGAACGGCTGCTTTTCCTTGACGACTTGGGCCGCGCGCTTTTCGATTTCCTTTAATTCCGTTTCCGCAATCGTGCTGACGAGTGCGTCAGGGCAGTGAAACCCAAAGAAAGAGATTGACGTACTTGTCACCCATGTACGAGTCGTAATAGAACCCGCCTTCCACTGGAGGTCCGATGGTCAAGTGGCACCCCTTGAGCATTTCAAGCCCTTCGCCCAACACGTGGGCACTCGAGTGCCAGAACACCATCTTGCCTTCGTGGTCTTCGAACTTGAGCAGCTGGAGCTTGCAGTCTCCAATCAACGGACGAAACACATCCCAGAGTTCTTCCACTTGGTCGCTTCCGCCGGCACAGCAGCACGTGTCGGCTTCCTGGGACTCGTTCCCGTCGATGTCGGCAGCAGTAACGCTGAACGGGTCGTTGGGCTTGCCAACGTACTTGACCTTTGCTACTACAACGGATTCCGCCAAGCCTTGCGAGATCGCCTTTGCGATATCCAAAGGAGTCGTCTCCCACGAAGTGCCTTCCTTCACGTTCCCATCGGGCAGGGTGATCTTGATGGGCTTACGAGGTTGCGCAGCAATTTCCTCCTTTTGCTTGGCCATCACACGGTCATAGACAGCAATGCGACGCTGCAAGAAGGCCGGGTTCGGTTCAATCGTAAACGGTCCTCCGATCTTGTGGCTGTCAGCAATCGCCGGGCCACTGGCCTTGGTCAAGCGCGTTTGCACACGCTTGGTTTCCTTTTCAGTCAAGGTAACTACGCATTACGTTAGTTCTGGGGCGGAATCCCCTAGCGCAACAAGCGTACCATCTTCGAGTTTCGCAGCGGCGGCGTCAGCCATGTCGAGGTAACTTCTACTGGCGCTCAAGTTGGCGAGTGATTTTCTCCCACACACAAATGCCAACTCAGATGATTTTATCACAGTTTCCGGATAGAAATCCGTTGCAGTTTAATTTATCATGTTGTGTTTGTATTTCATTTTCCTTGCATCGAAAATTCCGGATAACTCGATTCTTCACCCATTTCCATTAATTATTCGTTGCAATGCTTTGCTGGCAGACGACGGCCACAGCATTTTTCTCGGAAGGGCTGCGCAACGACTGCGGCGCGACTCGATGAACCCTCACTCAACCGAACCCTGCCCGTGGACCGAGTGCGCTTACAGCAGTTCATGCTGGGTTTGTTAGCTATGGCACACTACGTAACGCTGGGTGTCGCCACCACTGTATGTGCCGCATAGAGGGAACGGAGCAACCACCCAGCCGTCATCAACTCGTCAAGCTTATCAACACTTGCGACTGGTGAATCTTCGTGGCTTCTCCTGGTGCTGCCTGTGGCGGCAGGGCATTCTCAGAGTCTTCACCAATGTTAGGCAGCCCACGCTTCCACTGGGCCTTCCGCCTTCGGAGGTTTGTCACCATGTTGTGCGTATACGGGATGTGCTTTCCCGAAACAAGGGCAACACACGCTTGCTTCCCTTGAATGAACTCTGGGATCTCGACGGGAGGGCGAACATGGTGGGGATGCAGAACCTCAGTAATCTTGTGACGCAGTTTGTGCGGGTCGTGGGCAGCATGGTCAACGAGTACTTCTTTGATATGATGCAGCCGTTCTTCCACGCGCGCTGACGGGGAAACATCATCCTCGTACCCGCTGCTTCCACTGCTCGACATATACGCTTCTTCAGCTGCAACGCGGGCGTTGTGCTTCTTGTTCTCTTCTTCCAAAGCTTGAGCACGAAGGATGGCGCGCTTGATGGCTCGTTTGCTAAGCCCCATGGTCGAAAAGTCGTACAAATCGCAAATGACGTCGAACCACCCAGAAAGTATATGCCAATTGTGCGACAACGGGCGTCGCTCCAAAGACATGCGCTACGACAGCCGTATAAAGCCGACTGTCCCATGAATCTTCCAATGCACGCGACGAAGTTCGTTGGTAGTTCGCAGTCAGGGCCGACCCCATGCCGCCCCCTTGATACAAGGTGAGGTGATCAGGTTCCGAGTCTTTGTTTTTGCGTGCATGTGTGCGCCTGTGGTATTGGAGACATGCTCGGTTTACTCGCTGCCTGGAGGTTGCAGCTTTGTCACGGGACATGGAGATGCGTGTCGAGCAGCGCGAGTAGAATCACATGCGACAAGGAGAAACAAGGGACTCGCAACGTCATCGTACCCCTTCCACCTTGCCGAGGAGATGCCGGCAACCCTCGGTGGATCATTCCAATGCAGAGACGGTCATATAATATCCATGCGATCGGTAGGGCATAACGAGTTGTCATGTATAGTTTTATTCAGGTTTTAATCGGTCAAGATTGAAAAATGTCGTTGATTGGGTGGCTGAAGCCAATAATATTTTTATTGGTATAAAATTAAATGCAGGGTTGGCCCGAAAAAGGCGCGAATTAATGGATTGGCAAATTTGGTCTGACTCTGCCGCCGCCGTCGCCGCGACGTCGATGGACTGGGGATGCGTCAACTGCTCGTTTGAGAACAACGCCCTCGCCCAGCGCTGCGAAATATGCAGTTCTATTCGACCTGCTAGATTCCAACACGTAGCCATACCAGCGAAGAAGCGGCCACGCGTGACACCCACCGCGGCGAAAGGCAAGAAGAATGGAGGATGGAAACCCACCGTCGCTGCCTTTCAACCAGACGAGCGCATGCTTGCAAGAAAGTTGAGTCAAATGCGCGAATGCCTGGGCGATGCATCTGTTGATGACGAGCAACTCAAGCATTTGCTGCAGAAGAACGCAGGGAGTGTAAGTTTCGCGGTTGCGTCCTACTTCGACTCGATGGCACAGACACAAGCGAAAGCGATGACGAATGACAGTCAGTACTGGATCAATCGCATGTGCCCCCACGACTACTACCTTGGTGCATGCGCTGTGGATGCGCATGTGACCCGCCGGGATGACGGTGCCTTACGCACTGGTGCTAGGTAACATGCAGGTGGAATTGGATGGACTCAACTGAAACCTCGAAATACCCATAGGCTCCATCTTCAGATGGAAGGAGTTATGCTGCGCATCATGACTGAGAAAGGAGTTGTGCTGGGTCGCATCGATGAAGCATGGGAGGGCATGATTTGCCCCTTGATCCAATCTAATCTGATCAAGGTCGGCGCGAATGTGCTCGACGCCCCCCCACACACGACTGTGTTTTCCCGATTTCAGTTGCACGTCCATGTGTTCGCCGTTCCCATTCTCTGGAGCATGTTTCAAGTTGACGACGGGACCAACGCAAGCGTCAAGGAGCACTTATTTCAGCTCATGGACGCTTTGCACAACAAACGCGCGGTCGCGCCGTCGTCGTTCATTAAACTTCCCGGCGAAACCAACGACAAGATAAACTCCGAAACAGACGTCGACGCGCTGTACTCGGCCGCCGCCGCCATCGAGACGCGGTATGATTCCGCACAGGTGCATGCAAAGCTCCATGGGATCACATTGCGGTCGTACCAAGATCAAGCGCTGCAGTGGATGCTTCATCGCGAACTGTACAAAGATTCATCCAGCGACGGAAAAACCATCGGCCTGGCACTGCGTACGTCGAAAATAATCATGGTGGGACCGAAACCATTGACGGTGCTGCGTGAGGCGCAGGCGTCGACGCGAAGCAGGCCACGCTTGACGAACCCGATATCCATCCGGTATGTGCTTCCCAAGCACTCTTGCGTCCTTCACACATGTTTAGCTATGGGAGAAGCGAGAATGCACCCAGGGCCACCAGCGACATCCGACGCCGTTCTACATCAACACGTTCGAACGGGTGGTTTCCTTGTGCATTCCGCCGCCGCCGCGTCCCTGCCTTGGAGGAATCTTAGCCGACGATATGGGCATGGGTATGCAAGGACTTCTCCATGGACGTCGTGTGTGGCTGTCTGACTGGTTGCGCCAGGCAAAACCATCATGATTCTGGCGCTGGTGTTGGCGCGCACGTTCGTTTACACAGAAGACCGTCGGTCGCCATCGACAGACGTTGGCAACTCCGTGACTGGCAAGACATTGGTCGTCTGTCCGCTAAGTTTGCTGCATCAATGGAAGCACGAATTTGAAACCCGTGCGCCGTCGCTATCTGTTTTCATGCACTACGACACTAAACAGGTCCAAACGGCGGACCTGACCCGCAGCGACGTAGTCTTGACTACATATGGTGTCCTCGGCAGCGAATTTGAAAAGAAGAGTGGCATTCACGACATCGTGTGGAATCGGATCATCCTGGACGAAGCGCACTCGATCAAGAACAAGTCCACGACCTATTTTAAATCGAGCAGTGCGATCAAGGCGTCGCATCGGTGGTGCTTGACTGGCACGCCAATTCAAAACTCGCTCGAGGATATTCTGGCGCTATTAACCTTTCTTCGCTACGAGGTGCAATTGCTTCCTACGTCGGAAGAGCTCAGATGACTCGTGATAGCCTTGGAATAAAACCGAGTGGTGGAATCGAGTCGTGGCCCTGCCGTACGAAAAAGGTCAACAGTGTGCCCTTGTGCGTCTCAAGGTAAGCGGCATTCGTCACCATTTTAGTTGCTTTGGCGTCTAGGGCAAGGAAGGATGAATTCATGGACGGCGTAGGCAATCCTGCAACCAATTTTGCTCCGACGGACCAAATATTCACGCGACCCCGTGACAAATGAACTGATTGTGCAGCTTCCTCCCAAATCGATTGAAACGATTCGTCTTGAATTTTCCCGTGAAGAGCGGCAGTTCTATCAAGCTGTGTACACGAAAAGCCAAGGAGAGTTCTACGGGTATGTGGCCAATGGAACTGCTGCAGCGAGCTACGTTGCGATTTTTGCGCTGCTGCTGCGACTACGACAAGCTTGCGACCACCCGTTCTTGGTCGTGGGGAAAGACACTGCTGACGCGTCGTTAAAACCAGCCAAGACGAATCTCGATTCAAAAGGGCAAACGAAGGAGGGGTACTTTGCCGAGTTGGCCACCATCATGCAACAAACGAAGCCGCAAGAAGAACTCGCGTACATCAAGAATCGGATATTGGAGATTCAAGAAGAGGGGTTGGATTGCCAGGAGTGTCCTGTGTGTTTGGACGTCCCCACCGCCCCCGTGCTGACCCCGTGCGGCCACTTGATGTGCAAAGAGTGCGTACTGGGGTTTTTGAATGCCGGTGCTACGGCCTGCTGTCCCGTATGCCGCGCAGACGTGACCCCTGACCAACTCGTACCCATCGATCCACCTGAAAAGCTTTTGTCTTCGAGTGCATCTACCGACAACGCTCACGGCATGTGGGCGGGAAGTGCCAAGCTGAAGCAGCTTGTGTCGGACTTGAAGTCGATTGAGGCTGGGCGAAAAGTCGTGGTGTTTTCACAGTGGACGCACATGCTCGACTTGGTGGAGACAACGCTGCAGCAGCACGGTACAACAGTGTCACTGGCGAACAGATTGCTCACGTGTGTTGCCTGCACCTTTAGGGTACTCCCACTGCCGGTTTGATGGATCGTTGAAACAAGATGACCGTGAAAGAGTACTCCATCGGTTCAACTCGAACCCGGACGTCCAAGTGTTGGTGATTTCACTGAAAGCGGGCGGCGTGGGGTTGAATTTGACCGCTGCATCCGTCGTGATCATGATGGACCCGTGGTGGAACCCGGGCATTGAAGACCAGGCAATCGATCGCGTGCATCGGCTTGGTCAAACTCGGGACGTGCTTGTGAAAAAGTACATTGTGGAAGACACTGTCGAAGGTATGATTTTGCAACTGCAGCAGCGCAAGGCGACTCTCGCGTCGACCGTGCTGGCCACGTCCAAGTCTGGCGCGGAGAACGATGGCCGCTTGAGTCTTGCCGATTTATTGAAGTTCTTTGCCTGATTCAGCAACAGGCAATTGCGACAGTGCCAATAAATGATGTACCATCTGCGCCAAGGGACACTCGAGATATCAACCACAAAACACGATCCACGGCGGCAACTCAAACACATTAAAGAGGGCTTACAAGGCAAGCGCAGCAATAACAAGCGAAATGGCGCTAAGGGCGGCAACAGAGATTGAACTATTGGGAGCGGTAGTGGGCGCAGCGGTGGCGGCCACAGTCGTTGGCGAGGTTGTCGTCGCTTTCATTGTGGTGGGGGCCGCTGTGGAAGAACTGCTGTTACCGCTGAGGCACAACAAGCCGTTGGCGTAGTACTTGGGGTTGCCCAAGTTTGACGAAAATTGGACCGACGGAGCCGCCTTCTTGCAATTGGAAAAGCCCGTGCCGCGAGTGTCGCAGCAGCTGAGATCGAGGGCAAGTCCGTACATGTTGTCTTCGCCCTTTTCGCACGTCGAGGTGAAGTTGCGCTCTTCAACTTTGTTGGGCTTGGTGGTGGCTCCACAGTCAATGACCCCGTAGTACTACAAGTTGTTCAATTCAGGAGGGTGTCGGGAGAGACGCAATGCAACGACCAAGGCGTACCAGTGTGTAGTACAAGATGGACGCATCCGGCGAGCATTTGATCGAGTTTGCGCTCATCTTTTCCTTGTTCCCGCCTTGGTCGGATGCTTCCCACCCATGGCAGTACGTGGCAGGTTGGCCCACGGGCCAGACGTGAATCTTGTTGTTGTTTTGGTCGGCGTCTACCGCTCAAGGCATGGTAAGGGGAACGGAAAGAATTCCTTGCGACGCACCAGTGCACTCCGTCGAGTACGAGCTTTGCGTGGTGACGGCATACTGCGTACAGTCAACGTCCGCGGCGGCGATGGCGGCAACGGCGGCAAGGGTGGTCCCGATGACTTGCATACCCGACTCGTCTCCACGAAATTCAGTTGTGGCTTCCACCACGCAGACATGCGTCACATGGCACCCATGACGTTGAGTTGCTTAGATAAGAGGTCAAGTCGTCTGCTCCCATCGGAACTTCGACAGCAATGTGCTTTGGCAAAGTCAGGTGACTTGAACAAGGCAATCTGTGGGTGAGGAATCGTTCAAAATAGCGATTCCATGTCTCCTTGGACCGTGTTTGTGTTCATGGTAATCAGATGGCAGAGCATCGGCCCACGCACGTCTTGGCATTGATCCGCGGCTTCCGCCGAGTTTGTCAGCTGTGGCAGTCTCCTCGCCTCCCTGCAATCCCAGACATCAAGGGTAGCGTACAAAGACTAGACCTGGGTTGCGTCGATGAATAGCCGAACCACGATGTCCAAGGTATCGGAACAACACAATGCTCATCAAGGGAGATAGCCAACCGCCCCAGAACCAGCTGGTGTCAAAATAGGCGTGGCGAGACTGCTATGGTGGTACCCTCGCAGAGTTGGGTTCAAAATCAGCGATAACTAGGCTCTACGCAACTTGTGGTCGGCTTGCTTCCGAGCACAATAGGTGATGCTGACTCTGCAGGAGAAGGCACTGCTTCAAACTTAATCGTGGGCGTCGGTACCACACTTGCGCCCTATCCTGACCGCCGTGTATCCTGTGCACCCAAGACTCTTTGCGTTGGTAAGTGTAGCCGCGTTTTGCCCGGGCTGCGTTGGCCTGGTTTTTGTTGGGTACTTGACACGGCGAACACTCTCCTTCGTTCCAATCGCGGTGACATAGTGGACGATGGTAGTCTAGTTGGTACGTGGCGCAACGTCATCCACGACATCTCCGTCATGCTCACGATGCGTTTCAATTGGCAAGCAAGAATGAGATTTGCCTGTTCAACGAAGTCGACTGACGCCACTAACTTTACCTTCGCGCGTGTGATTGAACTAGACCGCACGCCTCCTCCTCGAGTTCTCTGAATCTTTGCAACTCACGTCGATGGCGACTGCCGCAATTACATACCCTCATCCGTGCGTCTGGACGCAGGTGCGCACTCGGCCTTGCGGTCCGCGGGCGGCGCTGTGGCCTTTCCACCATTCATGAAACTGTCCTGCACCAGTTACACAGGTCATCCGGATGGGCAACACGATTCCGGATAATTTTCCCCAACGCCGCAGGAACCAACGCAGCAATAGGAGGAAATAATGGCTGGAATCAGCGCGCTGAAGCGAAAGCGCCAGCATAATGAGGACGAGAAGCTGAATCACACCGCCAGCGTTCAGTTCACGCGAGAAATCAAGAAGATCAAGGCATTCGAGATTCAGAAGGTGGTCAAGACGCTATCCAAAGACCCGCAAAATGCCAAGCTCGCAGCGACAGTCGAGTTGCTCAAGGTGCGCGGACGCAATTCGTGATGACCGCTGCAATTTTATCCTATGTGTAGAATGTGGACGTTGCCCATATCGCTCGACGAGCTATGCTTTCGCTGGGCCTGGACCCTCCCGAAATCAAAAAGGCGAAGTCGAGTAACAACACACTGGTGGACAACACTGCAATGCTTGCTTTGGAGTCCACGTTTCTCAAGCACAAGAGGCTGTCACCGCTCCTCAATACATGGAAAACCAAGGCAACGGAAAGAGCGGACAAACTCTTCCGCGAAGAAAACGTCCTTCTTAAGCAAGCTCGCGAAAATTCGGTAGGGATCGACTTTACCCATGTGCCCTCACGAATGTCGTCGCATGTATTCAGAAACAACAGACTCCGACTAGCCGACGCGGCGCTTCGGCTTCCGAGTCCATGTTCCTCGGCTCTCTGTCTGGGCTCGGTGAATCGTCTGGCTTTGAGGTGCGTTAAAAGTAGTTCGCACGAGTCGCTTCAGCCATGGCGCAGGACGATATTGCAGAATTTTTGGGTGAAAACCACAAAAAGAACCGACCGGGTCAGCGTGCCCGCAAACAGAAGGCGCTGATGGAAGAGCAGCGGAAGACCGGAAAGGTTCCAGCACCAACGATACCTCGGGGGACCTCCAAGTTTGGTCCCAGCAGCAGGACCGCAGCCGAACGACCCCCACGCCCTTCGACTACTCAAGGCAAGATCCGACCCCCACGACCCGGGTCAACTCAAGGGAGCAACCGCCACCAGCACCGACGCGCCACTTTGGAGCAAACTGGCGACCGCGCTGCGGCACCCCGACGACCACCTCCTGCTGCGGCACAAACTAGTCGCCGAGAAACTGCGGAGGATAAGTCGCACCATCCATCGTGGGCTGCTAAGCAAGCCCAGAAGGACAAGGAAAAGGTTGCAATCCACGCGTATGCGGGAAAGAAGGTTGTGTTCGACGATTAGCCAGAGTTAATGAAAGGGACTCGCTTTCAAGTGCATTGTGGTTAGTCTAGAACCCGCGGCGCAGGAGTTTCGCCACTTGATGGGCAACGCTGGCTTCCGTGGGGGCTGCTTGTCGGCGAAGGCGGGGAATGTCGTCGTTCACGATCGATTGCAACGCCTTGAGTTCGGCCGGTTTGACCTTGGGCAACTTAGAAAACCCCAGCGTATTGAGCGCCACCTGCATCGACGTTCATCCGTGCCAACGAAAAGCCTCCACACCCACCTGCAAGCTGGGAAGAACTCGGCGCCAGATCGAGAAGACAAACTCATCGCGCTCGGCCAGTTGACGACCATACAACCGGCGAAAGTGCTGCGTCAGACCGTCTTCGCTCGTCAGGTCCTGTGATCGCCGTAGTAAGCGCCACAAGCAAGCTCAACCACCTCGCACCTTTTCCAGCTCAGCCAAGTGGTTCCGGTAGAACCAAGACAGACCGGACGCCGTCGCGAGTGCCACCACAGACGACACAGCTGCCACTTCGGGCAGTCCACTCATAAATGCAGTCGCAGCAAGCGCATTTCCACCCACCAAAGCACTCGTTGTGACGAAGAAGCGACTCCACTTTTCACGGCTATACTTGGCTCGAACAGACTCAAACACCTGTTGAAAAAATACATTGACACGTACACGCAACCAAGGAATAGATCCCACCGTGGCGTGCATTTCCAACATGCGGCTGCTGTCGTAGACGCGCGTGATGAGGTTGTCAGCACGGCGTTCTGGTGCGCGCATGACGGCGTTGATCACTTCGTTGCGACTGCTTTCGAGATCTTCGAGGGCGCTGCCGAGCCCGGTTTCCGTGGTTTTCGAGCCATCTCCACGTTCTTTCACAGGAATGCACATGGTGTAAATGCGAGGCAAATCCTTAAGCGGAATAACCTAATTCATCGTGTCGGTCGCGTGAAGTCGAATGCCTTTCCGACGACGGACGACTGGAATACCTTGGACAAGTTCCAGCAAAGAGACCCGTACGCACGTGCAAAGTCGTGGATTTTGCGAAATTGGTCGACTTTGTTGAGCACGATGTGGAGCTTGTGGTCCATCCCGACGAGCGAGTTGGTCAGAATCGAGAGCGTTTCCCCGGTCGTGCCGGGTTTGTCGGGGTCGAAGAAGAGCAAGATGACATCTGCACGCTCGGCATACCATTGTACCACCTACGATTGTAATGAGTTGTCGATAGAGTCGTCGATCCGAGGAAATTGATTGCCTTGGGGAAATCGTAGCCGCGGTCCTGCTCACTGGTCGCATGGAACGACGCGGGGCTGTCGATCATACCTGCCACGATGTATACTTTGTCAGACAGACGAGCGAGCGCGATGACCGCACCTGGTGAGTCGACCATCATAAAGTGGTTGCTAATGGGGATGTTGGCGCGGATTTTCAAGTTGGTCTTTTGGATCAAGTTGGGTCCAAATTGACGCAGCCCAGAGAAGCCCAAATCGGGATCACCAATAAGAGCCTACATGAACTGCATGGTCGCTGGATGGTTCGATCATCTACGAAACGTACAGGTCCGTCTTGGTCGTGGTCAGACGTGCCGTTCGAAATGATCGTGAACCCGTCGTCCGTTGGCGCAACCCCCGTGGTTTGGACTTCGCGTTGCAACACGTGATTGATAAAAGATGACTTGCCGCTAGAGTGGTTGCCCAGCAAGAACACAAACGGCAGCGATGGCAATCTGTCTTCCACCGCACGGTTGAGCGGGCCGTACAGCTTGTCGTTCAGAGGCAGCAACACGTCACGCTCCAGTCGCGAGGTTTCACGCATCAGTGCCAAAGCTGTCTCGTTCTGTTTCTCATACGAAGAGTTCCATCGCGCTGCCACCGCCACAGGCACGCGGCAACGGACGCGTAAGATGTGGCGGGTTAACATCGTCCTGTGCAGTCAACTCTTGTGCCCTGTCCAGCAAAATGACGAGGACAAATTATGCTCTGAGCTTTCATTCGCTAAAATGAATTTAAATTTGTAATAATTTATCCAATCATACTACAATCTAACGATTTATCCGAATAGTCCGGATCAAGTTCAGAATTCAAATATAAAAATATAATGGTAGATTCTGGCGGAAAAATACAAATTACAAATGCAAAATTCACCGCTAACTGAAATATTTAACTGAAATATTATTGTGTCGGCCAGTTTCTTTGCACATTTCCAAAACGGTCGTATGTCGAACTCCAACCCTGAGAAGCCGTCGCCCTTCACGAATGTAGCGCCTCCGCCGCCCCCAGGCCACCCAGTGATGAGCCAAGCTGTTGCAGTGGATCCATACGGTCGTCCCATGGTTGATCAGTATGGCCGTCCTATCGCTGCTGTCCCAGTTGCAGTGGACCAGTACGGACGTCCCATCCAAACAGTTCCGGTCGTCCAGGCCCATTTGCCTCCTGCCCGCGTAGTCCCGAACAATGCCAACATTCGCCGTGATACCCAAGGGAACGCCTTATGCAACAAGTGCAGCGCGCCATACCCACTTCCCAATGGCGCAACCTCGTGGCGATGCCGACAATGCAGCGAATTCAACAGCGCCAGCGTGTACGGCCCCGAGTGTTCCATCCTCTAATATATCTACTATATCTTCCTCATGATGCGATACTTTAACTCGCTCGCATAACTTGTTTCGATGGCCTTTGGTTCATCACGTTCTGCGTGCGCCATTGGCATGCATTCTACACGTCCCAGAATGTTGGTGAACATACTTTGTTCAAGATGAATTCTTCCAAGGAAACAAAAGCCAACTGTGGAAGAACGTCTTGCCAAGTTTCGACGCCACCTACAAACTCTACCATGGAGACAGTCCAAGCTATCCACGAAACACCTCTTTGAATTTCAACCAGCTTGTGAGCGACGGAATGCAAATTCCATGCTGGTACTTGGACGCATTTCCACCGTGCGATTTCCTCTTGACCTCGCCGCCACGACGGTCAACTTGAAGTCTGCTGAACAGCTGTTCGGATAATCACATCATTATCCGGAATGTCACAATTGGTGTCGCGCACAATTTGGTGGTTCGATGCTGCTGCGCCGCTGCCTCAAAGGCTCGCGCAGAGCGACCGCGGCGTCCTTTTCCACAAAGTCCATTCGGGTGCGGCAACACGTGAATCCGCTCTCTCAACGCTACCAGGAACCCATCGCTTTGCCGGAGTGGACGACCGTCTTTCCACCCCCTCCTGCACAGCTTCACTTGGACATTGGATGTGCTCGGGCACAATACCTCATGAAGTTGTCGACAATGCGCCCTGATACGTGCTTCCTCGGCGTTGAGATCCGCCAGCCCCTTGTGGTCGAAGCAATGGAGCGCATTGGAACCCTTGGTCTGTCCAATATTCATATTTTGCACGGAAACATGAACGTGCACTTGGATGCAATCGTGTCGTCCCTCGTGCCACATTACACAATCGGAAGCGTATCCATCTTTCACCCCGACCCATGGATGAAAAAGCGGCACGTGAAACGTCGGGTCGTCAATCATGCCTTCGTTGCCGACCTCGCGCGTCTCCTTCCGACCGACACGCCCGTCTTCCTTCAAACCGACGTCTTGGATCTCTTCGAGTACATGGTCCAGGTGTTTCAAGACCAGCCCGACTTGTATACCCAAGACGACACAGCATCCGGCGCGAACGCGATGGGACTCCCCACCGATCGGGAGTCTGCTGTCTTGGGCGATGGCGGCGACATCTACCGCACAACGTTCTACACGACAGGTCGAACGGTGTAACCTTGAATACACACGACCATTCACGTTGTGCCAGAGCGTAGACCATGCACATCGCATGCCACCGCGACCGAATCAATGTGCATTGTGGTTGGTGTTAAGTCTCCTACTTCGATTCGGAAATCAAGGTCGTCATGGCGTCCAAGAGCGCTTGCGACAAGTGCGGTGCCGTCTGCGCGACTTGGAGTCGCATGCTGCCGTTGGCAAAGTTCACTTCCAACGTCGCGAGCATCCACACTTCCTTGTCCGTGCGAAGTTTGCCGACCAGCTGCACCGGCGGCTGCTGCTGCTGCTGCTGGAGGTGCAGCGCCTGCAATTGATGCGCGTTGATGTGGCTCAGATTGAGGGCGTGCGTGAGCTGCTGGATGAGCACCCCCAACGTCGTGGCCAAAAACAGCCGCGACTCGACCACAAGTGGCGGCCCCGACTGCTTCATCGTCCACAGCTGCGCGAACTGGTCCATCGTCACATGGAATGGATGCAGGAGCTCGCCAATCGTGGGCACGAGCTCTCCTTCGATGCCTTCGTCTTCGTCATTGTCTCCCTGGGCAAAGCCAGAGTGCACCGTGAGGCGGACATTTTCCAGGACGCCGCGGAAGTCCACGTGGAGCTGCACCATTGACGAACTGCCGGGGTATACGACGGGAACTTCTGGAAACGGGATCACGTTGCCACGCTTCGCGGTCTTTGCGTCGACGCTAACGCGGATGCGCGCGAGGGGGGCTGACGATTGGTTCGAGATGTAGCACTGCACCACGTTCATGTGCGGCGAGTACATGGAAGGCGTCCGGAGGTACGTGTACTCGATGATGAGGCCATCCGAGTCCGACACAAGCACAGATCGATTCGTCGGCACCGTGGCACTCATCGTGAGGTTGGACAGGTCCGCGAGCATGCTAGACGAGTTGATTTGGTTGCTCGACGACGGAGTCGACAAAAAATCGAACGGGTCGAGAAAGGATGGTGACTGTGCAGGCTGTTGAAACGAAGCCTGCTGGTTAAACGCAGGAACAGCGGGGGCAGCCGCGGTAGTCGATCGGGATTTGGCGGGTGCTTTGTTGCTTTTCCTGGACTTTTGCGGAAGTGGTTCACTCTCTTCGGACGATTCCTCCTCGCTCTCTTCTTCGCTCTCCTCTTCGCTGTCGCTCTCGGCTTCCTCGCTCTCGTCTTCGCTTGCTTCTTCGCTGGAGGCGTCGTCGTCATCGCTTTCGTCATCGCTGCCATCGTCGCTGCCGGTTTCATCGCTCGCATCGTCGTCGCTCTCGCTGTAAAAACCGCCGCCCGACAGTTTTTTCGAGCCCTTCGACGCCTTTGACGAGTTCTTTCCACGAGACCCGGTGTCCCGCGACATGGACGGCGGAAGCTCCGCGACCGCATCGCGCAGTCTCCTGTCTGCCTTTTCCGATCGCCACGCAGGCAGCGGAACGTACCCCGTCACGCTGTGGTGCACGATCTCAGATAAAGATCCGAGAGTAAACTTGCTCGATGTTTGCTCATGGGAGACCCCGATGAGTGGAGCGGGCTTCTTGCTCAAGAAGATTGTGTTCGGGTGAAGTGCCGACTGGTTCAACGCAGCTCGAACGAGGCGCGCGCGGTCGCGGAGGTCGTAGTCCAGGTCAAACTTGCTCAGCTCCACCACGTACTGCAAACACAGCTGAACGTTCGTGTGTGTAGGTGCGTTCAGGGCAAGTTTCACCGCTAGGTTGAGCAGCTAGAGGCAGTCAGCGAAGGCTAGCCAACGGTTGAAAGTCGCCCTACCTGCATTTTGACTTCGGTTGCTTCCTCCGGGAACGTCGCACACAAGCACCGCAACGACTCGCGTGAGATCAGGTCGTCGACTGCAAATTCCCCGAGCATCCACACGATGGATGCGCGGGCAAGCGGTGACGTCACACGGCCAGACACCAACATAGCAGCGAGGGATCGAACAACTTTGGCGTTATTGGCGGCTTGCGGCGTGTCTGGGCGGGTCGTGTGCTGCTGTTGCTGAAGCAGTTGGCGGATCACGACAACACTCTCGGCGACCACTTGTTCGTGCACAGATCGAACGAGACGCATGAGTCCTTATACAGGGAACGATCAGACACTGCGTTTGACGACGAACGAAGCTACCTTTGAGGCACTTTTCCGACACCGACGGCATCGCGTCGGCCACACGGCCCAGCGCTCGCACTGTCATCGTGACGAATCCCTTGTCCACATGTCGTACGTACGCCTGGAATTCACGTAGAATGGTAGCGACTGTCTCTTCCGTGACGAGCGCCGTCAAAATGTTGAGTTTGAGTTGGCGCGAGTAGCTCGGGTCGGTTGCACGGACGAAAAAGTCTTGCAAGAACGGCAAAAACATGTGCGGCCGCGCCGTGGCCATCGATGCAATCACAGAGAGCACGACGAATTGGATTTCCCGTTGGTTGCGCATGATGCGGACCTAAGATATGAGTGTTAAACATGAAGGATGAAAGCTGGGCACGCACCAACGACTTGCCCAGCAACGTGCATGTGGCCGTGCTTTGGGTGCCGCAGTAGTAGTGCAAAGTCGAGACGGCGAGGACGACCGCCGAGTTGCGCGACTTGAGCAGCGGAATTGACGACCGGAGAAGGAGTCGATGGTCTTCATCGAGTTCTTCACCGCCGCCAATGCCGGACGCGACGTCGTTCGATCGAAACACCGAACCAATCGACGGAACGTGTTCCTTGGACGCCCCAAAGAGATTGCTGCTGCTGCTGCTGCCGAGATGAAACGGATTCGATCTCGCTGGGGTGTGCGACGACGACTTCGCCTTGGGATCGTCCTCCTCGTCCGAGTAAAATCCCTTCTTCACTTTACGCTTTGGAAACAGTTCCTTGACAGCATTCGATTGCTTCGATGGGTCTTCTTGCTTGGGGCTTTGGAACTGTTCGCGGCAGTACCGCGTCAACACATGGATCACAACCGCTTGTCCCCACTCGTCAATGTCCGCCAGCAAGTGGCACAACTTGCGAAATGCGGGGTGCAACAAGTCCATACGGTCGGGGCAAATCTCGTTCAGCGCCTGGACTGCGCTACCCAGCACCATCGTGCTCGAGTCGGCAAGAAGAAGCGAGATGATCTCCGCCAACACTTCATTCTGGTCGGTGCTGTCCATCAAGTGCACCTTGCTCAACGCATTCGCCGCACATTTGCGCACGTATGGAGAAGGATCTCCCGCGCATTTTCGAATGGCGATGAGTTGAATCTGAATAATGTCGCGCACACGAATGCTCGTCATGACACGGAGGGCGAGCGCTCGAATGAGCTGGTTCGGGTCGGCCAGATCCTTTTGGAACGAATTGATTGAGAGCAATGCGAGTTCCCGACACTGAGCGTTTGCATCCGCATAGTGCACGAGGTACATATACACCATCTTCTTGACTTCGACCGAGTTGACGATGACGTTCTTAACCACGTCGGCAAAGAAAAGGGACACGTCTTCGCCCTTCGAGATCATCGCCAAAAGAGTCTTCATCGCTTGGAGCTTCTCCGACACACCTGCCGTCCCTGTCTTGTTGTCGAGGAGCTTCTTGATTCGCTCCATGTTCACGCTCTCCTCGAAGAAGTGCGCATCGCCGCTGATTCCCCTCACCGACATCTCGCGACTCCCCTCGCCGCAGAATGGTTTGACGAAGTTGGCTGGTTAGTTGGACGTGCCCGATTGGCTGAAATTTCAAGGATTTCGGAGGCAAATTTCGAAAACGTCAAGGACGTGTGAAAACCAAACCATTGCCACCATCATGTATTATGTACCATACATAATTCAAGCTTAGTTTGATGGGTAAATTTTTAACGAGGCGAAAAATTCGCTATTTTAGCAGAACTGAAACCCTTCCTTCCCAAATTGTCGTAACTGCTTCCTAGATTGCTTCACAGTGGCCGAGGGTCGCCACAGTTCGATGTCGGTCGGTGCCCGCAAAGCGCGCTTAAGACATCAGCGGCAGGCCTGACGTCAAGAAGATTTGAATATGGACGCAATCTTCATCTGCTTGGTGCACGGCGACATGGCCGAGCACGAACCCCGCGCCATCGACTGGACATGTCGTCGCTTCACGCCAACACATCAAGCGCATATTGATATGTTGTGTTTATCGACACGAGAAGGTGTTTTCACTGATGCGCCAATTTGGTTTGTTGGATTTGTACGGCATGGCCGAGAGTTGCAACGGATGGCTCACGGCAACTCGAGGCACTTCGTAGTCCACGTGCAACGCGTTGATCGAATGGGCCAATGCCGCGGCGTCCGCAGGTTGTGGACCGACACGCACGGGGGACATTAACCGAGGCGACGGCCTTCGATGGGTCGTAGTTGCTACAGCGACGATTGAGCCATGGCCACTGCATTCCACGGTGGGGCGAGTGTTGGGTTTCGTGACGTCTTCCGGCGGGGTTGGGCCAGGTCGTGCGGGCAGAGACGGCTTTATCCGTGCCCAAAAGGATCGGGCCATAGCTGGTGGCTTGGATGGCTCGACAGGTAGTAAACCAGTCAAAGGGGTAGTGACAGAATGGCGACCCCCTTTAGTCGCCACTGACGGCACTTGGAACTTGGTGGTCGTACGTCGTCGAGGCGGCGGGGGTTTCTGGAGCTGCAGCGGATTTGAGTTTTTGTGTTTTGTTTTGAAATAACCATGCACGCGCTTCTGGTACCGGTCAGGCATGGGCTCTCCTTTGCCCGGCACGATGTGGCGCTTGCCGTAGTGGGGCGTCTCGGGAATGGATGCGTCGACTTCGACGAACAAACCATCGCGCAACTCGGACGGCTGGACTTTATTCTCGGTTTGGAACAAGCTCTGGAGTAGTGCTTGAACGTCGACTGTGCCGTCCAAAGCGTTCATGTACGGCTGGAGAAGCCCGTGCGTCTGTTCTTCGGTGAGGGCAATGCCGAGCGTATTGCGAACACTTTGGCGAAAGTCCAGTGCGCACATGGGCGCATTGGCGCCACTGTGGAGCAACTTGAACGCGCTCCGCAACCGATCGATGCACTTGGGAATGCGTTGCTGCAACTTGCACGAAATGTCGCGGCGGATGTCGTCGACGGAGCGTCGGCAGTTGTCTGCGTCTTGGAACGTTCGACTGCCGAGGAAGGCCCTGCGGTCGGCTTCTCGCATTGCTTCGAACTGGGCGTCGCTGCGCTCGACGCTCTTTTCGACCCACGACTGGACGTTCGGGTCGTAGTCCTGCGGCAACACGCGGTCGATAAACTCGTACAGCTCGATCGTGCCGTTTCCGTCTCGGTCGTACTTGCGAAAGAGGGCCGTCATGTCATCGTCACTCACATCGAGTGCCAACGTGACCTTGACGGCGTGTCGAAACGATGCAAAGTCGATTCCTACGGACGACGTGACGGAGCTGCCGTCGAAGGAGGGCTGTACCTTTGCCCCGATTCACTTCCAAAAGACGGTACGCTTGCTGGTACACAAACTTGCCGTCGTGGAGCTTGGTGCGCTCGAGGATCTTCTCCCGCAGTAAGGTTTCGACATGCGCCAGGCCCCACTTTGGCTTGGTGGGGCTCACGCCCAGTGTCGGCCATGGCTCCGAGTCGCCGTCGTTCGCCATGGGGATCGAAGATGATGAGTCCGACTTGACGGGGGCCCACGGAACCGACGTGTGTGAGTGCGCCCCCTTGTACGTCGTTTCTGCAATCCAGCGGCCCCAAAACTGTTGTGTCGACGGGCTAATTTTAGTGCCTCCAAAAATACCCACGACGTCGTCGTTCCTCGACGGCTAACATGACAACGGATTCGAGATGACGGAAGTAGTTGGCGCTTATCGAGAGCTATACGACAAACGTCTTGTTGTTGAGCGCCATCAGGATACCGGGGTTCTCAAACAGGAAGAATCGGAACTCGGGCTTCTTGACCATAAACAGGACGCCGTCCGTCTTGGCCACGAGCTCCGATCCAAAATTGCAGTCGTCTTTGTGAAATAGCGCATCAACGTTGCCGACGAACGCGCCCTTCTGCAACACTGTGTGAATGCACTCGGGAGACTCTTTGCTCAGCGCGTCGATGGGCAGCACCCGCTACACCACCATCATGACGCTCGACGCATGCACACCTTGTAGGCGGGAAAACACCAGTACTTACATTGATCGAGCCTTTTCGCTTTCGCGGAGGTGGTGCGCGACCTACGTCGGTGGTGGGGTCGTCATTACACGTGCCGTCGACGGGGAGCGCGGGATGCGTTGTCCAAGTCTTGAGGACAAATTCGCCGCTGGCAATCCACACGGCAATGTCGCACGCCTCGTCGCGGTGCCACACGGCGTAGTGTTGGCGCACTTCCCACTTGGATATGATGAGCTCGAGTTGTGTGCGCTGCATTTCGGTGAGCTTTTGGAAGAACGAGTTGTCGCCGATGGTGTCCCAGGCAAAGTTGTGCCGGGTGTCGATCAGCTTTTGCATCCGTTCAAACACGGCCGTGCCGCGGAGGAACCAGTTGAAGTCGGCAGCGTTGAACTGGAGCAGCGACAGCGTCGAGCTCGCAATGACAGTGCACCCTGCCTTGGAGTGGGGCGACAGGAGGTACTGCAGGTCAAAGTAGTTGCCGGCAACATACTTTTTCGACCGCGGGACATTGGTCAGTCGTTTCCGAGTCGACCCGGACGGCAACGCGGACGAGGACGCGGCGTGGTCGTGGGAAAAGATGCACTGCGCTTCGCCCGCAATGACAATGTAAAACTTGTCGGCGGCCTCGCCGGACCTTTCGACGGTATCCCCTTTCGAAAATGTCACCCGTTGGGCCATCTACGCGCATCTCCATCACGCACGACAACAACGCAGTCGACATCGTCTACCTGAATGACTTCATAGGCGTCGTTGAGGGTCAAATCGCCAAAGATGTCGATCTTTCGAATGAGGTCCAGCACTTCCATCGTCGACGCGCTCTCTGGCAAGTCGGTCGGGACGATGATCGTATTCTGCACGCCTTCTGGCGCGGGGCGGAGGCCCGAGTCGACCGGGATATCTTTGGCAGCCGTGTGGACGACATACATGCGTGATCGAATGTCTTTGTCTAGCGCCATCAAGGTTTTCATCGGTGTATGGATCGGTGGAACCCCGGCTTCGTGCAAAATCACGTCGCAGTCCCAAGGAAATGCCAACAGTTCATTGCAACTACGTCATGCCATGCGTCGATGAGACCTGGGCGATGGCGGTGACATAAATTGTACCGACTGTCCGACAGCACCCCTTCGTCTCGCAATGCTCGAATCCGCTCGACATCATTGAGATGGTCCCCCGAGAACACAATGCGCTTGGAACCGTACGTGACTTCGAACCCGACGCACGGGATCGAATGCAACGAGTAAAAAAAGCGAAAAGTCGCGCCGCGGATGTTGGTTGGGTCGTTGATGCGGACCCGTCGAAACGTGAGCACGCGCTTGAGGAACGATTCGTCGAACCCTGACAGCGCAGCATATTTGCGCAGGAACGAGTGATAAATGGTGCTGGTCGTGATGAGCGACACCCGCCCTTCTTGCAAGATCTACGGAAACAACAATTGGACTGACGTCGTATCTGTCGACGAACCTTTTGAAACGTTCCTGCGTCGTGGTCGGCGTGGCAGTGCGTGACAATGACGCCATCGATCATGTGCGGTGGGATGTTGTTCGCGATGAGGATCGAGCTCGAAAACGGAGGTGGGTCAATCATGATGCCTCTTCGATTGATCCATAGAACGTAGCCCGACGTGCGCCCGGTCGGATCAAACCCGTGCGAGTTTCCCAGCACCGTGACGCCATACACCGGTGGGTAGAATGCTTCGTCGTGGATTTGGGCTGGAGGGGCCGCGGGCAGTCGGACAAAGTCCTCGATGCACGCGGTGCCGTTGGTCGTGTGGTCAGTGACGACGAATTCGCCGTTGAGTTTTTGGATCGTGACTTTGTGGTCTCCCGCCGTGAGGGTCGCGACGTTTTGAGCATTGAAGTGCGTAAACTTGAGCAGCATGTCAAGTGTGATGAGGGTGTTGCCAAACTTGCGAAAGTAACCGAGTTCGGCGGGGAGGTCGGGGTATGTCGACGTCGGCGCGGTCGCTGGAAAGTCGTGCTGGATGTCGATTTGTTGGGGACCAAACAGCGTTTCTTGAAACACTCGGCGGATGCGGTCCTCGACTTCTTGCGACGCCACGATCAAGTTGACGCTCTGCCGCTTGAAAAAAAAGTTGCAGTACGCGGGGAACTCGAACTCGGCCACGTTCACGCCCATATTGCTGCCCAGTGTTTTGGTAAATGGCTCGGACGGAACGACAAAATACATGGGGACAGGGAGCCCCATCGCCATCGAATCCTTGATTGTTTCGGGCGGAATGCCGTATTGGACAGGGCCAATCGACGTCGAGACAATGCAGCCCCCCCGTGGAAGGAACGTCACTTTCAGGGGCTCTGGTCGGGTCGCGTCGGATGACATGGGCGACGGAACGACCGCACCACGGCGTGTGGGGTCTCGTGCGGTAGTTGATTTTGCGAACGGTCGCAACTGCCAGGCCGCCGTTACGCGAATGTGCGACATACACGAACCAACGATACCCTCCGGATGAGAATTCTAACCCAATCAAATCCTCGCATACCTCAACCCACCAATCAAATGGCGCTCTTGGCGACCTGTTTGTGTGTTGGTATGCGACACAAACGATCTGGGACAAGACTTTTTCAGAATGAATAAAAAAATATTTTGTCGAGCAGTAAACAGTACAGGTTGTGCGTACTACTTCGAAGTAGTAATTTCTAGAGAAAATTCTATCAAATATTTATACATGAGTAATCTTACGCAATATCTGAAATCAATGTACGAAATCACAATATCATAGCTCCAGTATTCAATATGATCAACTCGACGCATCTTGTCGCCGCCACGATGAGGTCCTGGAGACAGAGCGACATGCTGGAAAGAAGGCTATCAAGGCAATGGAGGCAATACCGCAGGTTGGAGGACGCGCACTCTCGCCATGAGGGGTACAGATGACTTGATAGGCTCGTGTACCAAAGATTGCAGGAGAAGTGGGGGGATGGCTCTCTACCCCGTTCATCTCTTCACCACGACCCTATCATGCCCAGTAGAGTCATGATCATGATGGTTTCAGTGTTGCGTCATCGTTGATACGTGGCTTTCGTGCTTGTTTGACAGCAGCCCTTGGACCTGGTTCGTCGCGGTGTGAATATCCCGATGAAGCAACGATGCTCATCGACAACAGTTGGTGGGTTGGGCGATTCAAACGTGCGGCAAGTTGTTTGCATGGATAAGCCTTGGCACTGGATCGAGAGTATTTGCAGGCTGTTGCAGGACTTGTCTTGGCAGGGTTTGAGGCATGGTTTCTCGACATTGGCAGGGTAGACATGGAGTGTATAACTCCACCATTGTCATTGAGAGCAGGGACGTCATACCCATGCTCGTTGATATCGAGGTCAATCATTGGAATCCCCTGTACGGACAACGAAGGCGTGTTCATTCACGAATTGCTTACCTGTATACTGCTTTCCTTCAGCTTCCAGCCTGTGTTGCATGGTGGCCCATGTAGTACTTTGAAGCAACTTCAGATCGATTGCCTTCTGTCATCCACCACACGGCCATGCCCGATAGCGTTGTTCAAATACGTAGTACCCCATTGTGATGCAATACTCCCATGGCACTAATAATAGCTGGATTGGCGGTGGGAATTCTTGTCACTGTGACGCCGTGAGAAAGCGAATGGGAGCTGGGGGATCCGTCGAAGCTCTTCCAGGCGCGAAGAAACTGCAGTGCTTTGTCGCGATGAAAGCATTCAATCTTCGCCACGCTGCATCCAAGAGTCTGGATCAGCAATTTCAGAACCTACGTCGCCACGACCGAGAGGTATGGCCGGACCAGTCTAACCTTCCAACGTTCTCATGCACATGCATCAGACGGGCGCCGACTTCATGGATTGCGACGAGCTGTGCGGATATTTGCAGATTCCCTTGCCACGCAAGGAAGCCCTTGTCCGATTGTTCAATGTCCAAGCAGTACTTTGCACCGCTTGCACCCGCCCACGCAATCGAGTTGATTCAAACGTAGGATAATCGTGTGGGATATGCCGACTTTGTGAGATTCGTCGAGTACACGACGCCATTGCACGCGCCACCTGTACGTCCGAGGTCAAAACATCGTCTGGAGTTGTGACACTTGTCCATAGAGATTGGAACCTCCGACGCCATCCACTTTTGAAAACGTGAGTTGACCTCAACGCCGCCATACCTTCGACTTCTCGACACTGCTTCCATGATTTCGCGTGTTGCTCATGTATATCCCCAAGGACATGTTGCCCCAACCAAGCAAGAACCAGAGGTCTCCGCCCAAAGAGAACCAACTGGCACTCTTGACCACCCTTACCAAGCAGCAAGCGACTGGTGGGGCGCCCGTGCTCACGCCAGGGCTGTGGAAAAAGCGCGAAATTACCATCCAAGAGCGGATTGTCGAGTACACGAAGATCGACGACCAAGGCAATCCACAGCATCTCATTGAAAAGGAAAAGCACCAACACGAGGTAAACTCTGCTGCGCTCTCGAGCCTCATGTGGATCTCGGCAGATCATTCACATGGAGTCGACGACGGGCGAGTTCGCCCACCGCGAGATCACGTACTTCGAGCAGTCGGAAGAGCTCAACAAGGAAATTGTCCACCTTGACAGCGGTAAGGAAGAGTTCGTCCACTTGAAGTCCAAGGACGACGAGATTTCGCATTTCGAGTCGTCGATGCCACAGTCTCGCCAGCCAGAAGCGTGTGAGCAGTCGCCGCCGTCACCAACCATCAAAAGAGACTCGAGTCAATGTCCGATGGAGCCCGAGACACACGATTACCAATGACACACGCCGATTTTTTAAGATTACTCGGGCTGTTGCTTGGAGCTGCCAAACGAAATCACGTTGCAGATATAGTCTTGGAACTCTTGGCAGGTCAGTCCTTCACGGGATATGATTTTCAGGGGCGCCACAGAGAGAGGAACCTTGGGAGAAAATTCGGTGAGGGGATCTCCAGTGGCCCCTGGCGACAGCGACAGCTCAACTCGAAATCTCTTCGGATCCATGTTGTGGTACCCTCCTACGACTTCGTCAGAAGTGGCGATTTGGTTCTCATAAATTGCTCAGCTCACCGCGCTCGAACACTCGAACAACAATATGGGTCATGTAGCACAGCTCTGGGATTTCTTCAATCATTTTCACAGCTTCCCGACTAACGGGGGCTTCTTCTTCGTGGCCGGTAACGCTGTGGCGAAGCACATTGAGTAGTGTGTGCAAATGGGACTCGCTAGTAAAGTATAGTCGGGTGCGAACCGATCGATGCGCTGACTTGATGCGGTGATCGGTCGTAGCAAAAGTTGGATTCAGGCGATGGGTGATATTGAAGCCACGGGCCAGATCCAAATCGTCGCGGACTTTCTTCAGCAGCGATCGACACATGTTGGTGCCAATGTGAAGCTTTTCATGAACATCAATCCCATACTCCTGGAATCGACAGCGTCGTTTACAACAATTAGTATTATAAAAGAAAGGAATACCTGGGGAACGAGGGCATGGGCAAGGGAAGCCGAAATATTAAGCAGTTCCCGAATTCCACTCAAGTACAAGTGGGCGTTGTGCATTGCGTCGTATCGAATGCAGTCATGGATATCTGGGATCTTGGACAGATCGTACGTGTTTTGCTTCTTGGAATAGAAGTCGCGATATAGCTTGGCCCATCGCTCGCGCATCATCTCCAACGTTTCACGACCGCAAGGTTCCCGCTTCTTCGAATGCGAGTGGTTCTGTTTTGGGCTGTGGGTCTTGTTCGCCATGTGTTCAGCCGGTTTCTTTGGCCGTGCCCCCGCAGAACTGACGGTGGCACGGTTTTCAATTGCTGCCCCGACTGGTTCCAACTCCAAACACGACACAACGCTCGTTTCCGATCCCTGACGCTCCAACTGTGGTGGCTTGTACGCCCACGCGGATTGTTCCCGTTCAAACTCTGTCGCAGTGATCACGTTTTCGGCCTTTTCGGTCGCTTCGTTGTCGAGAAGCTTCGTCAGTTGCTCCTTCAACGAATTAAGCAATTTGTGCATGCGCTCCATCTTCTTCATGGGCTGTTCGACCACGTCAAGCGCCGCTGCCACACTACGCACCAGTCGGGACGACGAGTTTGTCCGCAAGTGACCACAGTCATCTCCTCGATGCAGAATGTTGTGCAGTCGTTCTTTGACGGCCAGGATCATCTCTTGGGCCGATGAACCCGACTGGTCCAACATGGAATCGGCATCTTTCGACTTGAGCACTAGACTCACCAAGATCGGGACTATGTCGCCCTCAAGCTCCAGCAAACCCTTGGCAAATGAAGCCGCCGTCTTTTGAACGCGACCTTCGTCGCTCGTGTAAATTTTCAAATCATGGCGGTAAGTCGAGTGGAGGCGCAAGAGTCCACCGTCCCCACCAGGGTACATAATCTGACGGAAGTGCTGGCCCAAAGTTTCGGCTTGCTGGATGCCAGAATGAGTCAAGTCTCCACCCCACTTGACAATCACAAGCAACTGCGTCACTCGACTTTCCTGAACATCAGAGGAGTAAGACCGCAATAACATTCCAACACTACGTTTTACCTTGCGGGGGGAATAATCGTCGAGATCTTTGGCATCATCATCTAATGTCCGATTATTATGTGTATTTCTGACCAAGTCCAACGTACCGATTGACTTGACGTTATCGTCATTGCTCCATGCGCGAGGCTTCATCTGAACTTTTCGGTTGATGCCGCAGAGCTGCCACCGCTCGAGCACGTCACGCAGCGTGCAAATGCCTTTGAGTTGGTCTTTCTCAAGTTCGTTCGAGTCGTCGTCGTCGCCATTGAGTTTGCGCTGTCGGTCTTCGTAAATGTCGATCATTTGCTTGCTCACGGCCAAGAGTTCTTCCAAGTCCTTGATCGCTTTGATCTTTAAGTCCTTTTTCTTGCCCTGGCCCACGCGGTCTTCGTAAAACGTGAGAAACTTTCGGTGGGTCACAAGCATCTTCATCTTTTGCTTAGGGGTCCGGTCTCCATGTCGAATCACTGCAAGAACACACCGAAGCTCTTCTTCCTGGCCATCGTTTTCCAGTGGATCGTGATACCCGGACGATTTCCGCTCCGAATGAACATCCGTCTATTTGAAACACAGTTGTTAGCCTTTCCAATTTACAATTCGTTCCATCAACATACCTCGTCGTTCTCGGCACCATTGCTCCCGTCGCCCACGTCGAGCAACGACATGGACGAGCTATTGACCAAAATGCGATCTTGGGGCGAATGCATGCTTTCATACGGATCGGCAAACCCAGCAAGTGCGCGCTCAAGAAACTGACGGAGCAGCACAGAGCAGTCATCGTAGTATTTGGGCGAATTCTTGACGAAACTCCACCCGTTCACGTCGCACACGTATGACTCGTTGCCAACACGGAGGATGTCAAAGCCGCAAACAGTCTGGCCGAACGCGCGTACCACCTTGTATGCAATCTCCTTTTCGTGTGTTGACAGGATCACAGGGTATCGGATCTCCTTTCCCACGGCATCCCGCATCACCTTGCCGTCCAGTACGGGTGACTTGCGCGCTTCCGCGTGAGCGTAATTGGGACCGACTGTGTACACCTTGACGTCCGTGCCTTGCGTAGATATGAACTCTTCGTAGATGTACGACTGCCCTGGCTCTCGACGCACGTTGATCACGTTCGGGTGGAACTCGGACGACCGGTTGCCGATCTTGCGGAACAAGTGCTTACACCCACCGCCGGCATTTGTCGGGTAGTAAATGTAAATGTTGTGGTTTTCGCCGTTCACGGGTTTCTCAACAAATGGCTTGTGTATGCGCACTCCATCCAGCTCGACGTAATCTTCGCTCTCGATGAAGTTTCCCTCTTCACGACCATTATCGCGATCGACGAAAATATGACTATATGGCGTGATGACACATGGTGAGAAAGTTGAAGCATGAAATGCAAAAGTACCGGGGGGTCGGGATGTCATGATCTTCCAACACGCGGTAGACGTCACGCCGGTCCATGAGAAGATACTGCTTGGACAAATCGTTGACAACAATCGGTTGTCGTAGTTCAACATATTCCATTGCCTACCAGAGATTCAATGCCAGTAAAGACAACAAAGCACGCCACGGGAGACAGGCGCGACGATGGCATACCTTTTCTAATGGAAACCCAGTGGAGAAGAACGCGATCAAGGCGTCACAAAGCGGCCAATCTTCAACGGGGTGGTTGAGAATCAAGTCGTCCCCAAACAGGACAATCGTGAAGGTATGTTTTGGCAACCGCGACAAGATTTCCGACATTGGCTTGGAGTTCGCCTTTTTGTCCATCGCACATACGCCGATCACAAAGCGCGACCCTTGCGTGGACATGGCTTCCGGACCAATGTTTCCAGGGAAGTTGAACATGCCACTTCCACGTTGTTCTCCTCCAGACGCTTGTGATCCATCGATACTCTCGCGGCGGTCCTCGCGAGCAATCTGCGCGCCCATCTCGAAATTGTGGTTGAACCTGGGAAACCGTTCCCGAATAATGGACGTCCGAGACACCAACCCACCATTTAATTACACTTGGTGTTTGTATTCTTCGTGATTTCTATTTCATACGGTGACGTTAAGTTGATATTTTATACAATAATCAAGTATAAATCTCGTACCCCATGGCCTCGCCCTGTTTCTTACGTGTCCTCTACCTGACGATGGGATACAATGAGGAATCCGCGGTGTCGCGAAGAGGAGTCCGAGGGTAACAATTATTCGGATCCGGATAAACTAAACCATGGCCTCAGCATCAAGGTACTCCGAGGACACGACACCGACGAAGCGGCTCCGTGTGGACGACGTGCGAGACGGAGGTGTTGGTACCCCACCTCAGAGTAAAGATAAAGAAGCTGTGCTGGTACGTTGGCTAGACAAAGGACCACTTCTTGTTCTTGGCGACGATGGCGTGACAGTGTCAGGCACCAAGGTATTGCACTCATCTTCGCGCCTTGGACTTGTCATTGATGGATCTTTCGTTACAACGTGAAATCAGGGCTTCTGCATGGCACGGACGAATGTCGGTGTGAAGAAAGGCACGTACTATTTCGAAATCAAGCTTCTTCCGGCGGCTGAGGCGTACCATGTCCGTGTGGGATGGGGCACGAAAAAGGGCGACATCAATGCGCCGGTTGGCTTTGACGAGCACAGCTATGGATACCGCGACATTGGCGGTGAAACCACGCACAAGAGCAAGCGCAGTGATCGTTATGGCGAGAGCTTTGGTGTGTTTAGAATTTCACCTCGCCGAATTTGTTCGATGAGACATTCGCAGGAGTTGGAGACATCGTCGGTACCTTGATCTGCGTAAATTGGGAGGCCGGTGAGAAGAAGGCAGAAGGTGCTACGCCCTCGCCTCTTCCAGGTACGTCCCTGCACTTGTTCATTTGCACCGCCACTGCCCCATGACTCAACACACTCAGGTCGATTTGCTCCCTCATCATTGTCCAAGCAATCAAGCGACTTGGTGGCTGTGTCCTCTCCACGACGTACGGTTGGCCCTGCTCGAGTTGAGCCAAATTAATTTGCGCATGATTTAAGTTCTTCTATCGTAGGTGTCGACGATGCATCGTACATCCGTTTCTTTGTGAATGGCCGAGACCAAGGGATGGCGTTTGAAGGAATGCCGTTTGGTACGTCCCATCCCTCCATACCAATAGACAATCATCCTGATTGGAAATCTCGCAGCGGAGTATTTTCCGTGTGTGTCCATCTACGGCCCTGGCACAGTGAGAGCGAACTTCGGTCCTGACTTTGAGTGCGCTCCTCCAGGAGTTGTCGCCGTGCCTCCACCCGTGGAATAAGTCGGGCTCGTCTGCCGAATGCTTACCAGTCGCTTTCCGTTGAGCTAGCAATGCTGGAAAGGGAGACATATGGCGTTTGTTTGAATTTGCTTGTATAAGTACTCAATACAATCACCCCCGCACTCTGGTTGGGCTTCTCGCAGACATCGGCGGGCGTTTCCCACTTGATTGACCTCGAAGCGAACATGTTCATAACCAAAGCCATCTATCTGACAAGAAAACGCATCTCAATCATCCGTGGAATAACTGGTTGGACGACGCCTGGGTCTGGCTTGCATTGGCAAAGTCGAGCAAGTGGTTCACTTCTTCCGCGTCCAGATCTTGTAGAATTCCTTCAATGCCATTGGACGAATCGGCCCGGAATGAGTTCATGACGCGCGCCACTACCGGGTCTTCCTCCATGCTCATGATCCAGTTTGACTGCGTGTTCATGTTCGTTGCAGCGTCCATATCGTCCAAACTGAGCTTTTGCCGAAACGACTCGGACATGACGAGCTGAGTCAGGATGTCGAGGGACGTCTGGTCCCAGTCCATCTTTTTCTTCTTTGACAGAAACGGCGGCTTGAATGGAGCGGGGGCAGGGATCGGGGGCGCGGCGGGGGCACTGTGCGTGCTGCCCGAATCACTGTATAACGAGTCCTTGTCGTCGTCATCGTCGACCGACTGGTTGTCGTCGTTGTTGTCAAGCGTGAGGTTGTTAATCCAGTCCATTCGCGGCAGGCGTCCAACAGCGATCTCGCGCTTGATGGAGTCCATAAGCTCCGTGATGTCCAGTTTGGGCAATCGTCCCGCGCGCTTCTTCTCTTGCTTCGGGTGCAATTGCCTCCACTTCTTCTTGATGTCATCTTCAGCTCGACCCTTCATCTCGTAAGGATGCGGTTTCCCATTTTTTCGATTCGTACCGGAAGCAGCTTGGCCACTAACGTCCACCGGTTGCCAATTTTGTTGTAAACGAACTCCAACAGGGCCAACTCGGCCAGGGTAAACTGACTATTCGACTCAATCCATCACGAATTTCCTCCGTTGCGATGCCACAACGTACGTTCGGTTGATGGATGGGGCCAAGTGATTTCGCCAACGCTCGCGGCATTGCTTTGTTCTAACGAATCGTTACGCAAAATTGAGAAAACAACGTACGTTCTCCCGGGCACTCCTTCAGCTACCCTCACCCATGCATCTTGGTCACCGTGAATCTGAATTTGGTGGCGCAAAAGCGCATCTTCGTCTGGGGACCATGTTCCCTTGATCAAACCCGGTTTCAGCACTTTGTTCCACCGCTGGAGGCATTGGGAATGGTTGCGCCCTGGTACCAATTCCGCGATCGCCTTCAGTGCCAATGACGTGAGCAGAAGGTTGACGCGGCACAGTTCATACCTTCCAGTTTTCATTCCCGTTCTGCTCGACGGCCGCCCGAAGCGCCGTGTCTTCGGCAAGCGTCCACTTGCCAGCAGTGCTGCCAACGTGCAGTGCCTCCACTGACGCCTCGCTCGACCTCCGTTTCCTAGGATCATGGCGTCAGTCAATACAACTTCCACGAGCAATGCATCCACGTACAGGAGCTGCAACGTGTCCACGTTTCCACCGTTCAGCTGGGTTGCCATGTCTGTCGATCCAACTCTGACTGATGCGCCTTGCATAGTTGCCTCTGCCGTCGTCACTTGGCCAATCCGTTCAGTTAAGTATATCGAGCTTTTCAGACAAGTTGCCTGTTTAGCAAATCAGATTACTTTTCGCGATATTTAGTCTTCAATTTTGATTGGTCGCAATGCGCATACTGAATTTTGATTGGTTATAATTCCAACAGATTGGATTCATGACATTATGCGTAACGAAAGAAATCTCGCCCTGCACAACACCATCGCTCATACTCTCTGTCCCTGCTTCATCCTGATCTTAAGCTTCTACAAAGCGCATTCCTCCTGCTCGTTCCTTTCTTTGATCTGCCGAACACATTATTCTTTCATTTGGTCTTGAAACAGGACAATTTCGGACGGATTGCTCGCTCGCGATTCATCAATCGTGACTGTCCGAAATCGCAACACGACAGGTTTGAAAGTGCTGTCTCTGTCTGTAGTAAACATTCCCTCCGCAATGTACTGCCTTCATCGCCCCGTGGCTCGTACTCGTAGGGATGTCGCGCGTGGCCTTGTCCTCGTGAGAAAACTTGAGGTGTCGTGGGCGATGCGACGCTCGTTCAACAGAAGCACTGCCTGTACAGGAAAACATTTTAGCCAATTACATGAGTTTCCATGAAAATATATGTGAAAGCACTTGATTGGCCAGAACCAAGGAGACGAAAAATTAGCTCCAGCGTCAGAAGAACTTTAACTGCGGCATTCCAAAGATGAATAAGATTATGGGCTCGTGGACCGCAATGGAAGACCAGCTCCTACGCACGCGAGTGGAGCAGTCGCACTCCGAGTCGTGGTCCAAGATTGCAGAGGGTGTACCGGGGAGATCGTACGTATTTAGTGTTGTTCCACGCGGCAAGATCATGCCAAGTTGCACGTTGTAATGGCATGCTGGGTTTTTGTAGGTCGAAGCAGTGCCGGGATCGCTGGCGCAACCATTTGGATCCGACTCTGATCAAGACTGCGTTTACGACGGAAGAGGAAATCGCGCTAGAGAATGCGTACGAAGAACTGGGCAATCGATGGACGGAAATTGCCAAACGATTACCCGGTCGATCTGAACACGACGTGAAGCTGCGATGGAAAACAATGCATCCCCATCGATCGGATCGCTCGAAAGCGTCGTCAACGTCGCGGTCTGCACCAACTCCACAACCACAACGCCGCACAGATATGCCGATGACCCGTCCTCGACAAATGACTAACGTCATGGGGTCCGACGTGATTTCGATGTTGGATGATTTGACTGTTGCCGAATCTGTCGCTTCCTCCTCCAAGAGACCGCACTTGACAGATTGGGATTACCCCGTGCAGAGCGTGCAGTCTGCACCACCGAATGTGTCGACATACCGGCCCCTCTCAGGATCGTTCGAACTGAGCGATTCGTTTGTCAACACGCTAAAGAAATACGAGCACAACCCGACCGTGGACGATGAAGCGCTCATCAACTCCTTGTTTGCTTCGTTTGGGCCCCACGACGAAGAAGCCATCCGTCGCAGTTTTAACATTTCGGTGCAAGAATTCGACGATATGCTGGAGAACAAAGCAAACCTGAAGAAGTCGCTAACCAAACTCTCGTCGTCCGCATCGAACACTAACTTGAGCTTCCTCAGCAACACGTCGTTCCTCAACAACGATGACATTGAAGGCATCATATCGTCCTGCGTCGACAACCAAATCGACCACTTGAATCATTAATTAATCATCGTCAAAACAATCTCTGTTGCAGTGTCCCTCGCGCGCGCAGATCCACATGAGCTACGGCTTGCGCACGTTGTCATATGCAACAACATCCTAGTGCGCTACCTCGTGACGACAGCACAAATGACTTAACACTGCGGATCGTTCCGTGCTCAGTGGGCATGCCGGCTTATGCACACTGTCCATTGTAGCCGATTATTTCAGCGACGCCACCCTCCATGCTGCAACTGTCGTCCGCTGCATCCACGAGAACGTGATGCAAAATAGGGAACTGCATTCAAACAGGTCCGACATCGTCTATGCACGCCGTTTGGGCACTCGAAACGTGTGGGTCATGGTGACGTCCACGCCGTCGTCGCCGTCGAAACTAGCCGACCGATCGAGGTGCTCAAATAAACTCGTCGTTTGCTGAAAGTTGCTCTGACCACCATACGAGTCGAACGTGTCGGGGGCGTGCCGATGGTCCAGTTGGGCCGACGAGGGGTGGTATGTTAGGTTTTGCATGCTCGCGACCAACTGTGGGTCGTCATGGTGCTGACACCCGGACGTTGGCGTACGGCATAATTTGTCGCCTCCCCCGCACCCGCACTGGCACCCGTCGTTTGTCTCGGTCATCGACGCGTATGTTTCGTGGATAAACTCCATAATTGCGTCGGGGTTTTCGATCACCCCCACGAGTCGGCGAAACTCGGCGTCGGTCATGCTTTTGTCCTTGAATGAGTCGAATACGGACACCACTTCGGACGGCGCGGCAGGCATGGCCTGGGCAAAGTGGTCGCTCAGCACAAGCTCGCGAAAGAATTCCCAGTCTTCGGCTTTGATGCTGGCAAAGCTAAGGAGAGAACTATCGCGCTCCTTGAAGCTTTCAAACATGGACGACGCGCGGCGAGAGATCAGGTCGGCCGAGTCGGGATCGAGAGACGACCATGACGACATTTCGGTGGGATGGGGCGAAGGTTCGCGATATTCATGGAGAATCGGATCGACAGCTGATGGTGCGGATGACGGCTGTAACGTAGGTTGGTGTGCGCTCTGTGCATTTGTTGACGGCGCTGGAGACGACGACGACGAAGTAGTGCATCTGCTGTCGTTGGGTTTGCCTAGCGTCGATATCAACGGCGGGCGCCCAGGCTTGGCCACGGCTCTCGAATGGGGGTTCAGCACCTTCCACCGCATTTTAACAGAATCTTCCGTGCGTCCCTACGACCATGTTGAGCCGTCAACACTCCAGAGCGTAAATGACAACTGTACAGGCAATCTATTGGCGATCTGAGTCCATCGGTTGCCAAGCTCCGCGTACGCCGCCGCAAGAAGCATGTCTTCGTCGGATGAGTACGGACCCTTATTGATCGACGGGTCCAAATGGTTTTTCCACCGCTCGCGGCACTGCTTGGCTCTAGATGACAACATGGTTTGGAACATGGTGTAGAATGTTGGGTAGAACAGACGTGCGGCCCTCAATCGATTTCGAAATCTCGCCCCAGTTCACAGTCGTGGAGTTTTGTACGAGTCTCACAAGATTCTCGTCTTCGTCAGCTGCCCAGTGACCCTTCACAAGGCCGGGCTTGAGCACCTTGTTCCAGCGCTGGAGGCATTGTGCGTGATTTCGCCCTGGCACACGCTCCGCAATCGCCTTCGGACACTCTCAGATGGTATTGCATCCAGGCCACACCCTAGCTCACCTTCCAGTTTTTGCTGCCGAATTCTTCAATGGCAAGGCGAAGAAGCTCATCCTACGGCAATCCTCTCAGCTTGAACGGATGGCATGTGGTACCTGCTCTGGGGTCCATCGAGACGAAGGCTGCACACCATCTTCACTGTCGGGCTCTACTTGACGCGACCTTTGTCCTGCACTGGGTCCCAGCGATTCGGGATCGTCCGTCGGACGGCCTCGTTTTGCAAGCAGGCCGCTCATGGTGTGATTTGGTTGGAATTTCTCCTATAAACTAAATTATCCACGTCGGAAATGTTGAAACCGAGTCGAATTTAAATACTTCCGAAGACTCGCATAAGAGGTAAAGTATTGTGTCATGAGAATTAAAATAATTGCTAGCCACTTTCAATGATAGAGGGTAGGCGCTGTCGCCCGCCTGGTTCGGCAGAGATTCACTCCACATGGCCTCACATGAGCGTGTCGGCGGTAGTAGATCTGCGCCCCATGTCAAGGTTGTGCTTCTCCTCTAACATCTTCACCAACTCTTTCTCCATCATACTGCGAGCCATCTCCAGCGGCGACTTGCGCGTGAACTATTCCCCCCCCTCTTGCACATGAGTGTGGGTTGCCCATTGCAATTGACCTACGTTGCGTTTGGATGGCTTGGCATCGCATTCCAGGAGATACTGGACAAGATCGTGGTTCCTTGTCTCGACGGCTACGTGCAGAGGCGTCGTGCCGTTGATCTAAGCACATCGCCATCGCTGACCGGCGCACGGTGCAACTTCGGGTGTACGTACATTCATGGCGTTGACGTCGGCCTTGAACACGACGAGGATGTTGAGGACCTTTCGATTTCCTTTTTGGACAGCCACATGGATAGGCATGTTGCACCACACCTACGCTTCCTTGTTAAGTCTTCTTGTGAAGGATCCAAGCAGGGAAACATACTCCGTGCGAGACATTCACGCTCTCGGCGCCTGCGGGCGATTCCAGGATTCGTTGGACAAGCGGGTAGTCCTCTGCGTACACTGCGTCCCACAACGCATGGTGCTTCATCTCGCACGAATCGTAATTTCGATGGAAGCGTTTCACGCGGTGTTGGAATTTGCCGCAACGCGCTGAGGCGACGCGGGTGCCAGGGGAAATCTTTATGCGAGCGCCGTCGATAGCTGCAGCATGTCTGTGATTGCATTGCTGAGCAAGGGGTGGCAAAAATCAAGGTTTGCGTGGGGGTCCTTGGCCGGCAACTCCCCCGAGAGACGTCTACTCGACTTATGATTGTGCAGGATGAGGACTCGGCGACCCTTCGGAAACGGCACAATTCACTTCGAGCACGTATACTATACAATATTCAGTACAACTTCCCGCACACTTGGCGAGAAAACCTGACGGACATCGCGGACGACACACCGTGCATGGCACGTGACGTGACGAACGACGAAGAACGCTAGACCATACCACGACGTGCTCATGTCAGCTCTACCACAAGTAGATGAATCAAGGGATTACGGCGCCGAGACGGACGGGTTGAAGGAAAAAGTTCATCGACGTCTCAAGGAGTGCGCGAAAGAACAACATCGCGGTCGGACAGACGCAGTGCTTGAGTTGAAAGCAAACACAGAGAAGGCGTTTGCCGATTTATGTGGCAAGAACGAAAAGCGGAATGCTGAAGCAGAAGCGCTGGCACGGTCGCAAGACCGCGAGTTTCAAGACTTGCTTACAGCAGGCAAGAACCCGTACGAAGTGTTTCGCGCACGAGAGATAGCAACGCGCGCAGCCAAGAAGCTCGTGTCCCAGAAGAAGAAGATCAAGGAGGCTGAAATGGCTATCGCCGCGCACATGGTGCATGAAGCAGCGCTCAGTCAAAAGCGCGATGAAACCGAGAAACGGCATGCCGAGTACGTGCGAAAGTACCAAAAGGAGCTCGGACGCAAAGTCGTGGAGGGCCGCACTCGGGACTACATGATCTCGCGCACAGGGGCCGAGCTCGTGGACCCTACAGGTCGTACCTTCCGAATTGATCCGAGCCAGGTGACTGTGATGAAGGACCATTCGTTTGGGCTCGGGAAGAGTACAGTCAAATCCCGCGAGCAGCGAGACAAGGTATGAAGTTCAGGAAACGCGCGTAACATTCTCATCCTTCGCAGGTGATCGACATGATTGCCGCCAAGCGAGAGCACGCGAACGTTCAGATCAATCCTCGTGGGCTGCCAAAGACAAAAGATTCCCAATCCGTAGTTGGGCACCAAAACAACCAAACGAGCGGCAACGAACTTGAACAGCTGCTGCTGCCACCCATCGTCGACCCCCCTGGAATGGAGATGGCCCACTTGCATGGCGGGAGCGGTACGCCGCACAAACATGCGAGTGTGCAACTGCCGAGTCTGACTACGAAACATGGCGCGACTCCTCCACCAACGGACAGTGTCAAAAAGGGCTTTGGCATGCCGAAGCGAAGCAAGCTGGAAGAAAACATGCGCCTCCAGGCCCTGGCAAAGCAAAAGGAGAATCGGATCGAGAAACAAATCGTGTGGCGCAAGGAGTTTGTCGGTCGCGCGTTTTTGGCTGACCCAGAGGTCCTCTGGTTCAAAGACTTTGACGTGGGCCGTCCGCAAACGCTGGCATTCACGCTCACCAATGTCAGCAACACGTTCAACCATTTTAAACTCCTCCCGTTCCCCGACGACATTCGCGACTTCTTCGATGTCAAGTACGACCTTCCCGGCCGCATGAGTGCAGGTGTCACGTGTCGCATCCACGTTACTTTCTGTGCCCGCGTCAACCAAGACATCAACGTCGAACTGCCGGCGGTGGCCAAGACAGGATATTTTTCGATTCCTGTGAAATGCACCACCAAGCGAACTGTCCCCGTGCTGAGCTCGTACCACTTGACGTTCACGAACATTGTCGTGGGGGAAACGAGCAAGCAGGTCGTGACCTTGCGCAACGACGGGGCGCTGCCAGCCACGTTTCGAATTGTGACGCCGGCCGCCTCTCCCAAGGCAACTGCGGGTGTCACAGACACGGCGGATGCAGAGCCAAACGCCCCGGAATGCATCGAAGACGCGGTTCATCAAGAGGACGCAGGACCGGTGGAAGGCGTGGATGACTCGGGCGAACCTCCTTACGCATCAGAGGAAGCCTTGCTGCGATACGCAACGTCCGTCGGGCAGATCGACCAGGACAGGTCTGTGCAAACCATCACAACGACGACTGAAGGACGCGTGGAGTCATACGGCAGTTGCACGATCGGGTTCACGTTTGCTCCTTTTCGGACGGTGGCGGACATCCGGCAAACTTTCCAAGTCGTGTTTGACTCGCCGAATGTAGACACGCTGCAGGTCACCGTCAATGCTCAAGCTGTCGAAGTGCCGTTGTACGTTGAGGCCCCGATTATGGACTTCAAATGTTGCGTGTATGGAAAGCTGTATCGGAGCAAGTTAATTTTGCGCAACCGCGGCAAAGTCGCCATGAAGTGCCAACTCAAAGTCCCGCCATACTTGCAAGAGTGCCTCGAGTTTCTCCCGAATTTTGGATTCGTTCAAGGCAGCAGCTGCAACAGCACGAGTGCTGACCTTCCACCGACATCCGCCGAGCCAGGCCGGTTTGAAGTCCAACTCAAATTCCGCCCCACAGAAGCCATTTGGACGGCGGTACTGAAACGACGTCTCGGCTGGAAACAAGGCAACGTCGTGGCGATTCCCCTTCAAGTTCTCGTCCCCGACCAAGTGCTTCCAGTGTACTTTGTCCTGCGCGTGCAACTTACGTCTGGGAACCTGCTCTTCTCGTTGCCGTCACTCTCGTTTGGGGCGTGCTGCACCACCCAAAGCGTGAGTCAGAGCCTAGTCTTGACGAACCCATCGAGGCTTCCACAGAAGTTCGGGTTTGTCCACGTTCCACCAGAGATCCGCGTCGAGCCGAACGATGGATTCGGCACGCTCCTCCCACTCGAACAAGCCACTGTCACGGTGTTCTACAGCCCTCTCTCTGCCACCGAATTCAAATCGACTCTGACTTGCGCCACCACATTGAATCGAACGTACCAAATTCCGTGCGTCGGTCAAGGCATGTCACCGGCCTTGCGCTTTTCCGAAGCTGTCATCACGATGGGTGCGATCCCGCTCGGCCAGTTTGTTGTCCACAGCGTCGTTTGCACCAACTCAACTGCAACGAGCCAGAAGTTAGAGATCGCTCTGCCCCCCGAGGCGACCAAGGTACCTGGCCTGCCCCATTGATGTTGTTGCTATGACCACTTTTTGTATCAGGTGCTGCACGTTCGACCGCTCGTGGCCACGATTGACGCGCACAGCTCCATCCGCATCGAATTCGAATTCCGCCCCACAACTGTCGAACCGTTCGAGGCAGTGGCGGGAACGACCGATCCCACAACGGTCCAGTTTCAAGTTAGCCGACCGGACTCCATCCCTGGCCTCGTCTCTCCTTCTCATCATGACAACGAAGCGGCATCTAAATCAGAGCACTCGTGGAGGTACGACTTGCCGGCCGAACCCAAGAGCTACCACGGGACGTACAACATCGTGTGCTTCGTCGACGGCGATGTGTCCCAAGCACTGCAAAGTATCCGCGTCAACGTCGCGGTGATTGATCCAGAGATCTCTTCAAAACCTGAAAAGATCGAGTTTGGTCAAGTCGCGGTAGGCCAAACTGGCGTGATGAAGCTGCAAGTGATCAACAACTCTGCGGTCGACCTCGACTTAAAGATGGTCCCGCTGCACTCAATCGGCCCATTTTCGATTCTGAACGCACTGCGCGTCGTCAGTCCCCACGGCGGCCTTCGAGTACGTCTCCCCGACGTGTTCATCAGCGCCGTGACTAGCCACCAACGTAGACAATGTTCATCGAGTTTGCACCGTCGGCGCCATTAATCTTTCGGGAAGATTTGGTCCTACAGTCAACGCGAGGGAACCTTCGCGTGAGTCTCCATGGCGAGGTGCGTTGTCAAACTACGCTGTGATAGTTCACCTCGTTGTTTTACGCATTTTTTTCCTTGGTAGGGAGTAAGCCCCGTGCTCAGCATCACGCCAGCGGATGGGAAAGTCGACTTCAAGCCTGTGCTGGCGAGGGAGAAGGGCTACACCGAGTTTTCGCTTTTGAATTCGTCGCTTTTTCCCCTGAAGTACATCATAAAGTCGCTCGACAACGGCAGCCATCCCAATTTCAATCAGACAAGCGTCTTCACGTGCATTCCCAACGAAGCGTCGATCCCTCCGGGGGAAACACAGGTTGTCCGTGCCATTTTCAGGTAATGCTGTGATCGCATCGCGCCAGGCTCATGAGGCACTCATAAGTTGTGCTTACACCCCAGCCCGGATCACGAACGCCCGATGGAGTATACGACAACTTTCCGAGTGGATGTGCCCAACCAAACGGAAGACCACGTGATCGTTCTCAAGGCATCGTGCAAAGCAACCTGTTCAACATTCACCCACTGAGCTCTAATTCTGTAGGGGCGGTGCTGGGAATGCCAGTCGTACATCCTCCATCCTGACGCGACGTCCACTGCGACGAACGAAGACGTGTTCGACCTGCCCTTGCACGTACCAATGCCACTGCCGTTGGCAGAATATGTGAAGAAGCCTTCGCGCGTAATTCATGTCGAGTTTGGCTCGGAACCTCGGCAACAACAAGTTGTGATTGGAAGCATTGGTCCACATGGCGAAGATGGCCACGCAACGATGTCGTTCTCGGACGGCAAGGCGAGCACCCCCACAACGTTTGAGATCGTGTTTGACACAGGCAACGGCATCAGTTTGCTGGAAAAGTACCGAAAGCACTTTGTCCTGGAACCACTCAAGGGTACGGTCAGCCCTGGCCACGAAACCAGCGTGTGTATCCAGTTCAATCCGTGCGTTGACGACCACGACGGCACCACGTCATCTCCCACAAGTTCCGGCAGCAATGCTGGCTCGAGCGAACTGCGAATCCTCCACTGGATACGAGTCACTGCACGAGTGACGCTGAAGGGGGGGTACATTCCCCCCGTATTAGGGGCAGTCGCGCCAGAGCAAGTTGTCCAGTTGGTGTTAAAAGCCAGGGTGTTCACTTAGTAAGGAGGTGTGCCATACTTTGACATGCGCGTCCTTGATGCACCTCGACTGCAAGCCAAGATGGCCCTGCCGCATCGATTCGTACCTCCCAAGAGTTCCAAAAGGTGAGCTGGGGTTTTATCAGCATGGAACTCCCCGACGTGGGGATCTTGAGTTCTCCATGTTGTCGCGGAAAGGTGACTGCTCGTATCCGGTATCCGTCGACTTTTGCGGTCGAGTTTGGGAATTTATCCGGATAGGTCCGTCCACCTGAGCCAGAGTGACTCTTGGGGCAACATGGGGCAGTCGGGCTCCAAGGGCAGTAGCAAGGACGAGTTCACATACGAAGACTCGGACGAAGGGTTCACGGATGCGTTGAAGATTAATCTTCAGCGTCTCATTGCGTATGCCAAGAGTGCCGACGCCAACTTGCAGCGTGAAGTAGCCGAGAAACTCGCGAACGAGGCCGTCAAGCGTGAGTTGCTGTCAGTTCGTTGCTCGACAACCTCATCGACGTTTATGGTTAGCGGACCGTCAAGTACAGATCGTCGAATTGGATGGACTCCAGCTCTTGCTCCCTTTAACGGAATCGAAAGACACTGAAGTCCAACGTCTGGCGGCGCATGCCCTGGCGAATTTGTCGGTGAATTGTACGTGCTCTGCTGCCCTGGTGTTTGTGGTTACAATCTTTCATTCAGCGGACAATCAAACGAAGATGGCCAACGAAGGCGGCATCGACATGCTTATCCACTTACTCCAGTCCAACAACGAGCACGTCCAGCGCCAAGCGGCAAAGGCCCTCGCGAACCTCGGCGTGAATGGTCTAGTGTTCCATACGAACATCTCCTGTATGCTGACACCACACATTTTCCTTCCCAGTCGACAACAAGGAAAAAATCGCCAAAGCAGGAGGAATCAAGCCCTTGATCGAGTTGGCCCGGTCAAAACAAGTTGGTGTGGCAGTCGAAGCCATTGCTGCGTTAGCCAACTTGGCCGTGAACGGTCCGCGTTTTGTTTACCGAAAGTGCTCTAATCAAGAGCGTGTGCAGATGCCAACGAGATCGAAATTGCGCAGGAGGGCGGGTTGAAGCCCATCATCCAAGCAGCCAAGTCAGATTCAATGGAGTTGCAGTCCCAAGTTGCCCGGGCGCTGCGCAATCTTTCCGTGAACCGTACGAGTCTATACCGACGTGTGTTTTGATGCTCACGTTCGAGCAGCTGACAATAAGGAGCTCATTCTCCAGCTCGGCGGCGTCGATGCGCTGCAAAACTTGGTCCGATCGCCCAACGAGCGCATCTGCCAGCAAGCCACTCGGGCTCTGGTAAACCTCGGCGTCAACACAGCGGACTAGACCCGTTTGCATTGTTCTCGATACACCGACCGCAAGACATTGTATGAGTTGAATGCATCTTTTATGGAGACAGTCACTTTCTGCCGACGGACAAGAGTTTCGAGCCGGTCTGACGTAAAACATTTACCCCTAGCGCTTCCGATTCTTCTTTAGCGCTTGGTACCTCGATCCATCCGCTTGGACGGCAGCCAAGCCGTCATGGGCGGGACACCAGCTGCCCCCGCCGGCGTTTGAGGCATCATCGTTCTTCTTTGCATTTCCCCACCAATCTAGAAGTGAAAGCAGCGTGAATACGCATCACGACGCATCGTGCGCTGGGTACCTCGTAAAACGACGACATGAGGAGGGCTTGCTCCCGTTTTTGCCCGGCTTTGAGCTCTTTGAGTTTGTTTTCGAGCATTTCGACCTTGGCTTGACGCTCCGAGATCTGGTTGCGATGGACACTGACGGCGAGCATATACTTGCTTTGGACTGCATGCAGAGTCTTCTTCGTGTACGTCTCGAGCTTTTCTTTGTCTTGGGATAGATTGTTGATGACCGATTCCTTGTCCTTCAGCCTGTTGGTCAGTTCTGCGATCGTCGCGCGAAGGGAGTCCGATTCTTCAATGTTGCTCGCCTACATGTCCAGCCGCATCCCCTTGAGATGTATTTGAGTTTGATTGGTACCATCTTGCGGGCTTGCTCTTCATGCGCCTGCAACTGCGTTGCCAGCCGCGTGTTGGTGGCTTCCAGCTGCGCTAGCTGTGCAGATGACACACCAGATCCCGCAGCCACTGCCGCTTGCATACCCTTGGTGGCGTCCACCAGAGCATCGTACTGCCGCTTCGTCTCGAGAGCCTTGTCCTGCCACACTTGCTTCATGCGAAGAGCATCGTCGCGTTCATTTTGTAGCGTGAGGATGTCGCCCGAACCCACCGTGGACGGCGTTGCGACAGCCGCATGCGACGTCCCAGCGGCGGACAAATTGTCGACAAGCTGCTGGAGTTGCCGATTCTCGTGCTGCAAACGGGCAACTTGCTCGCGCATGTTGACGCCGCCCCCAAGCAAATCAGCTGCACTCGTGTACTGGTCTTCCTCCGTTGCACGGCCATCCGTCGGCACGTGGGTTCGCAATTCCTCCAATTGCTGCTCGAGAAAGGCCATAGCGTGTTGGGCACTCTCGAGTTCGTCTTGGAGCTGGCGACATTTTTGTTCCTTCACTTGGAGAGTCGACGTGACTTCAACGTTGGTCGTTTCCAGCTCGACCACTTGGTTTTTGTATTTTTCAATCGAAGCCTTCAAACTCGCCATGGTTTTGACCGTGCTTTCCAAATCGAGCATCTTCTCCAAGTACGACGCGTTCTGGGCCTCCACTTCCTTCACGTGCTCCTTGACCGTGTTCATCTCGTCCAGCTTTTGCTTGTACTTGGTCACGGTCGACTCGAGCTTGGCCAGTGCCACGAGCTTCGACCTCGAAATGTCCAACTCGTCCTAAACATCCCATGTGAACATGTTTTCGACTGGCGACATTTTCGACAAACCGCTTGCCGGCGGACTTCATGTTCAAGGACCATCAACCTCTCGCCCGACTCCTTCTTGACCTGGAGGAGTTCGTCCGTCTTGGCCTGGAGCTCCAAAGTTAACACATGCTTCTCAGCATTCACGAGTTCCTCCAGCTTCTTGTTGTCGCGCGCGACGGCTTGTTGCCGCTCGCCATTCAACCGGTTGTTGTCTTCCTCAAGTTCTGCGACGCGCCGACGGGCGTTCCGCACTTCGATCGAGATCTTGTCGAATTCTTCCGTAATCAAGCGCTTGTCTTGCTCTGCGTCCTGCCACTTCTTCTCCATCGCACTCAAACGCTCCTTGAGATCCTTGACGTCGCTGGTTTCTTCTCCACTGAACCCACGGATAGGGGTCTCTAACGTGCCGATGGACGACCTGCGGAACGTCGGCGAGCTATGGCCATGCAGCGGGGACACAGGTGGAAACATTGTTGTCAGCTGTTCCAGCATCGCCATGACGCTTTGCTGGACATGTTGCTCCAATGCCATGATACGAACCACGAATGTCTGACGTTCTGCACAGTTCACCGCACAGTACAGAATCAAGGCGGCGAGTTTGCCCAATTCGACCTCCACATTGGTGTCCACAACCTCGGCACGGGCAATGCGGTTGAGGTCGACATGCGTCGATACTTCGCATCGCACGGCAATTTCGTCGTGGTAAAAGTTCTCAATGCTCCGGGCAATTGCATTTAAGTTGGCGAGTTTCAGGATCCAATTCGATGCTTCGTCTTTGATTCCTGACAGGTTCAGGTACTCGGGCTCGCTACGTCCATCAGTCAGATATCCTGATTGCCTCATGGTACGCTGCAGAATGAGCGACACGAGTCATGCAGGGGAACTCGCAACTTACATGTGGTGGAGAACGCGAGCAAGAAACACACCATCAGCGATCGCTTGCCATGTGATCGTCGATGGTGAACCTGTCCCAACGGGCTCGTCGACGGTAAATGTCTGCAGCCACTCCAGGAGAGATTGACGCTTCTCGCTGTCCATGTGAAAAGCGTCGTTGTCCATGCTTTGCTCTGCGGGATCTTCCTACTTTCTTGCTGACTGGGACGGCAGCGGCGCCTGCGCGGAATATTTAGAGTATACCAATCACATCGTTGCATTTACAAGCGTTTTATCCAGTTAGATTCACCTAAATGTCAATAATATTGGGTGCATAATTTCATACAAATCACAAGATAATAGTGTAACTGTACAAGGAACCGAATTTGAACAGACTGGCTGGGGCGGCTGAACACCCTGGCGGCGCGCTGTCATGCAAAGCTGCATGGGGGACACAGGTCCAGGAGACTTCAATTAGGTGCGTTGGACACGGACGATAAACCAAGAGGCGTGTTGATGCTATGTGAATAGACTTTAGTTGTCGGCAACGATCCATTCATCGATGGCGCGTTCGTAGTCTTGGATTTCAGCAGCGGTGAACCACATGCCGATTTCGTGCTTGGCAGACTCAGGGCCGTCTGAGCCGTGGATCAAGTTGCGGCCGGTCGAGATGGTGTTGTCACCACGCAAGGTGCCTGGGGCGGCTTGGTTGGGGTTGGTGGCACCCAAGATCTTACGACCAGTCAAGATAACGTCTTGGCCTTCCCAGACCATAGCGACAATGGGGCCCGAGGAAAAGTACTTCACAAGACCGTTGAAGAATGGGCGGGAAGACAAATCGGCGTAATGTTCGCGAGCACGGGCTTCCGTGGGGGTCAGGAGCTTCATCGCGACGAGCTTGTAGCCCTTCTTTTCGAAGCGGCCAATCACTTCGGAAATCAAGGCACGTTCGACACCATCAGGCTTGATGGCAATGAACGTGCGTTCGTTTTTCGTGCCGGGGATGCCGGTGTACGGTGTCACCTTCTTCACAGCTTTGGATTCGGCAGGGTTGGAGAACGCAATGCCAGCGGCAACACCGGTCACACCAGCCACCACCATCAAAGGGGAGAAGGCCTTTTGAGCCAAGGGGCGAGCTTGGGTCGCCATCGTGCGGGCGGCTTGTTGGGCGACGTTGCGGATGACTCGGCGGGCGAACATGGTGGTGGATTCCGAAATGGCATGCTCAGCGATTTGGCCTGGACGCAGCCACACACACTAACTCGTGTCGAATCCTGCGGTGGCCAATCGCGAGCCGCAGTATAAAACCCAATACTGTACCTCATCCACCTTGAAAAACGTATCAAATTGCCGTTTTGTGATTCGAATTTCAGGATATTACTTCGTTATACGCCGTTTTTTCACTTATGTGGTGGGTACAAATCAGCCGACCAAACCAAACGTGCCCAGCCACACCATGTCACAGAACCAGCCCTAGCTACATCGCCGCAGACACTAATTTTAGTGTAGCTGGGCTTAGACACCTTGGCCCTACCTGGAAGACATTGTCGAGAATGACCCGAATTGGACCCATATCAAGTGGAGATCGTGTCCAGGGCGGTGAAGTCTACATCTTCTACCAGATACAAGTTGCTGTTGAAACTCAGGATTCCGAGTCGAATCATTTGTACCTAATGAGGTACGATTTCATACGAACGAGACCATAAAGGTACATCACTGTTTCAAA